CGGACAGATTAGGTATTTGGTCTTATTATGTTTAGGTATTCGATTCAAAAATATAACTTAGACGCATTTCGACTAATTTTATATTTAGGTATTTGATCAATCCAATAATATAGGGTTTTGTTTTCATTTATAATATTATACATTCAAAGTAATGTTTTAAACTTATCAAGTGATAAGTGATACGTTTAAATGAAGAATTAATAAGGTGAATGATACATCAGTATTAATACAAAAGATGATACGTTCTATCGAGTAAAATGTATAACAATATTTTATAAGAAAATGTATAATATTTTTTTTAGAAAAAATTGAGAATTCATTGTATAACTAAAAAATTGAAACCCCATTAAACATACAAAGGATATTTCTATTTTTTGTTCTCTAGATCTAATATTTATCAAAAGAAAATGATAATAAATGCCTTTATAATATTATTCTCATTTTTCTTTACAGATAATACACGTATTTTCAATTTTTATTCATTTAAGAAGGTAACTATTGATGCTTGATTTTGACACCAACTAAACGCACGTGAGAAATACTGAACTGACTCAGAAGACACACGTGTATGGGGGTATTGAACTGAATAGAAGAAGAATAATGTTTAAAGTGGTTCGGATGCTTAAATAAGTGACTCCGACGTCCACTAGTATTGTATTAATATATGAGATCAGGTTGCGTTCAGCAAGCTAACTTACAAGAGATTACAAGAGAGAGAATATATGCTATTAGCTAATCCCACAAATGGGAGATGATCCCTTTATTTATAGCGGGATGAATTGAAGTAATGATTACTAAATCAGGGAGTGGGTCAGATTGCCGTACAAATCATTCCTTGTATCCCGTTATTCACCTATTCGAGTGATTTACTCGATTCTTGCAGGGATTGGACACGTGGATCACCTCTAGCCTTTCACCAGCCTGGCGCATACATACTGCACTAGCAGGAGCATGCCTCTTGTGTTAGCATGCGACGTGGCTGCGTCTGAATGGCTGATAGATTTACCTAAGCTTTGACCACTTACGCTGACAAAGCTCTGCGTCAACCCTACTTTTCCAGACATAACAGTAACCAAGAACTTAATTTATATAAACAACTTGCAGATAAAGCTAACTATATATTATAATTTGTATCCAATCTTTTAGGAGTACGACTGACCACGGAATCTATTTCAGGGTTTGTTTACTTTTGTTTTAGTTCATTATTTTATCTCTAAAAGAATAAATAATGTTCTACAATACTCTAACGGCATCTCCAACCCAACACCATTTACCAAAATGGTGTAAAAAATTTGCTCTAAAAACTACACTAAATTTATGTAAGTGAATAGTATCACACTAAATTTGATATAATACTATTCATCCACATAAATTTGGTGTGACATTATTTATCTATTATAAAATATATTTTATTTCTTTATTTTTTTAATTTGTATTTATGTTAATTTGATTATTATTTATATTAATATTTATAATAATAAATTCATAATAATTATATAATTTAAAAAAGCATGAAAAATTAAAAACAAAACTTTATTCAATGCAAATATTAAATTATAATAACTCAAAATAAAAATTAACACTAATTTAAAAACACTAAAATTAAAAGAAAATACAAAATAAACTAAAATAATAATCTAGTATTCCGATAGATTAGTTTTGGATCCTCTAAGATCATCAAAATATTGGAAAGAATTAGATGTGATGGTTTTTATTTTATTTTTATATTAAATGTAATGTTTATTTGACTAAATAAATGCTTAATTTTATTAAATTAGTATAATTTTCAAAGTTATTATTATTTAATAAAAATATAATTCTCAATATTTAATTAATATATGCAAAAATAATTAATAAAATAAATTGATTGTTGATTATTAATATAAATAAAAAAAAGAATATTTTAAAAAATATTCCTTTTGGTATAATATTTGATACAATGAATTGAAGATGCAATAGTAAAATACGTCAAAAGCTATACCAATTTAGTGTTTGTAGTTGGAGGTGGTCTAAGTGATAGTTTGAATGCAGGAAAAATTCAATTATTATCATATTATCTCAATTAAAAGTGGGAGAAGAAAGAAATCAAAATGCTTTTAAGTTGTTTCCTTAGTGCCTTTAACTATAACACAAGTCCTTTCAAACTTGTCTATTTGAGTCACGTTCAAACACTTTGTTGTTTGCATAAAAATCACTTTCAACTTTATCAAGAAAAGCCGTTCAATATCTTTCATACCAAAATAATAATAATTGAAACTATACTATAACCTAAAGAATTGAGAACTTAATGCATATATTTTTGTTGTTTTTTACACTTTCAATGATCTAATAGTTGTTGCTTCGCTTGAAAGGTAGAGTGACGCAAAACTATCGTAATATTCGACCGTTTCAAAAGATATTGAATTTCTTGAAATGGAAACTAATACATTTGCTATGTTACCATTTTTGAAAATACGATACTGAATTTATTTTTTAAAGCTCAAAATCAAGCTACTTATTTTCATTTTTGGATTCGTTTTTTAAATTAAAACCAAAAATAGAAAAAAAAAAAGGGTTAATTTGTAGAGGTAAGGAAAGATTAATTTAATATATAAAAACGGCTTGCAAATAAAGCTAAATATATATCATATATTAAAATTTGTATCCAATTTTTTAGGATCATATGCATATATAAAACCATAGCAAGTATCACATCGTTTATGACCCACAATTTCCAATTTAGTATTAAATAAATACATAATGGCCAAAATAAACCTTCTTCAATTAATTTGTATATAATTAATTAGGACACATACCTAATTAATTTGGCTAATATTATACACATGAGATGCCGTATATAGTTTGAAATTTCTAGCAAAAATTGAAACCATTTCAATGATTCAAGATGAAGTTATTATTGGTGGGGGTGCATTGTTGATTGTCCAAACTTTTATTATGGGGTTGTTTTTGTATAATAATCTAAATAATAATATTTAATTAGAGGATAATTCAGTAATTTAAATAACATACCCACCAATATATTCCTTCCAACCAAACATATTAATATAACATACCCACCAATTTATTCCAACCACCCAAACACATTTTTCTAAACATTTCCATTAATCTTTAAGGTAATATTTCTTTTCATTAATATAACATTCCTAGTAATGCAATATTCCCTGAACCAAACACACCATTATAGTCAAAATCTTCTATGTGCCAGGAAAGACAAGAGGTGCTATTTCATAAACAATATTAATTAAGAGATTAAATATATCATATTCTCTAGGGGTAATAAAATTATTAAAGTTAATTAAGGTTGCCCCCTATGTATTGAAGGGTCATAGGAACTTTTCTAATATTTCATGAAGGAAATTATTAGGGTACAGATTTCATTCTTGATGGCAAGTTTAGGTGTATTAGACAAAAATTAATCATTCTTGATGTTACGAAATTTAGTTGAAAAAACACTCATGAGATTCTTTATCAAAATTATATCAATTGAATCTTTTGGTCTTAGTTTTGTAGATGTGATGATAATTCTATTGATTTTATTCTTTGAACATTGTCTTAGTCATTTCATGCAAGTTTATAAGGTCAAAATGAAATGGTGTTAGCTCAAAGATGTGCTTTTTTTTTTTTTTTTTTTTGGACGAATAACCAAATTAACTCATGGGTAGTCCAACGATAAGGGCGAACCAAGGGGTTTGTGCATGATTTTAACTTATAGTGTCAACTTCAATTCTCCATTTGATACAAATGTAATACTTTTGCCCGTGATTTACTTGAGAGGTTGCGGCTATATAGCATCCCCTTCCTTGGCGATGGGTTTCTGCTGGATAGCATCTCCTTCCCAGACGGTGGGTTACTATGAGATAGCTTCTCCTGCTGAGGTCGGACACCTCATTTATTAATAAAAATAAAAAAAAAACTAGGGCATTTTTTAATTTATTTAGTTAATTGATTATCAGGATAATATTATTGATATCTTAGATAATTCCAAAAACTTAAATTTCTTTGATAACCCATGTAATGTTTGATTCTTGTGTCACTCAACTTTCTAGTATCTATTTTTTTTTTTGTTTTCTCTTAATTTATAAGATAATAATATATATATATATATATATATATATTAGATGAGGATAAATTTAGAATGTAAAATTCACAGTGTAGAATTATAATCCAAAAACTTTTTTTTTTTTTTTTGGTATTAATTAATTTCATTTATCTCTTCTCTAGTTACTATATATACGGTAGTCTTTCTTTCTTTAAGTTTACATTTTACTCATAATGCATTTAAAACATGTCGTTTTTCCATAATAGAAACTATCCTTTATTTTCCTTCCATTTTCAAAACTTAAATGAGAATTCTTCCTTATAACGAAAGTTATTAATTATAATAGGACCAACACTTCACGTCATTATAGAATTAGTTGTGTGACTATTAGACATCATTAAACACAATGACTTGTAATTATAAGATGATCGAGAAAATCATTCTGAATCAGAAATATTCATTTTCATGGCATTACTTTAACGACGTACTACTGTTATATATTCGTCAAATTTTGTCTTTCATTCATTTATCGACATGATTGGTAAATATTTACCAGGAGGAGTAAGGTAATAAGATCATCTTCCATGTTTGTTTTCTTATTTGATTATTGAGATATATTACTGTGGTAAAAGAGACGATATACAGGGAGATGGTAAAAGGGGGGGATTTTTCGAAGGTGGTGGAGGTGGAGGGTGTTGGTGGTGGTCCAAGAGTGGAGTAGTAGTAGTAGTAGCTTGGTTGGTGAAAGAGATTGTTGAGTATTCACTTGACCGTGGTGGACCCTATTTTGCTATGGCTGGTTCGACAGCAACCCCACCTTCACCACCTCCTTCACGTTCCGTATGTGGGTGGCTCTTCTCTTCTCTCCTCTTCTCTTCATCATGTGCTACGTGACACACTTTCATGCTTTTCCTTATTATAATCCCTCCAAATCCCCCTTCTTCTTCACGCATCACTCCCTCTCTCCCTCTCTTTCCTTCTCTTCTTCTTCTTCTTCTTCTTCATCATCCCTCTCCTGCTTCTCCTCCTTCTCTTCTCTCTCTCCCATGGTTCCTTTCTTCTCACCATGCCCTCTCAGCCCGACCTCCCCTTCTCCCTCCCTAGGTGATTCACCAGCACTCTCCACTCATCTCTTTATGATTATATCTTAAAACTGTTTCTCTCCTTGCAATTTCTAAAAAAATTGTTTCGGTTTTCGAACTAAGATTATATCTTAAATCTGTTTTATTTTCCGAAGTTTCATTTAGATTATATTCGTAAAACTACTATAGTTTTTCAGACTTTTGCGAATTTTAATCGAAGGTTGTAATCTTAAAACTGTTTTTAATGCTCTGAGAATAAGATTGTTTCCGAAAACTGATTCTTCTTTTAAAAGTTGATTAAACTTTCAAGGTTACTGAACTTGTTTCACATGTTTCATGCAGGTGGCTTGGACTGTTTCACAGTAAAAAATCAAGCAACGAAAATGGTGACAACGAAAACAGTAATGACGACAGTCCAGTTACAAACAACTTCGAATGTTACGCCTGTACTCAAGTAGGCGTTCCAGTCTTTCATTCCACCAGCTGCGACGACGCCCAACAGCCGGAATGGGAGGCCTCCGCCGGCTCTTCACTCGTTCCAATCCAGGCCCGGTCCCGGCCCAAGAAGATTCTCAGCCAGGCTCAGGTTCGGTCGGGACTGCTCGGGAACGTTTTGGACCCACGTAGGAAGCGCGTGCAGAGGTGGAACCGGGCGTTCCTTCTGGCACGTGGAATGTCCTTGGCGGTTGATCCTTTGTTTTTCTATGCTCTGTCCATTGGCAGAGGTGGGGCCCCCTGCCTCTACATGGACGGCGCCTTGGCCGCAATAGTCACCATCCTTCGCACGTGTGTGGACACCGTTCATCTCTTCCACTTGTGGCTCCAGTTCAGGCTGGCTTACGTGTCACGAGAGTCCCTCGTCGTCGGCTGCGGCAAGCTTGTGTGGGATGCACGTGCCATCGCCTCTCACTACGTCCGGTCCCTTCGCGGCTTCTGGTTCGACGTGTTTGTGATCCTCCCCGTTCCTCAGGTGAGACAGAAATATCCATCTGTTCGGTAAAATTACTGAATGAAACTCTGAAAAATTGTGAGGTAAGCAGTTAAAGAGAAGGACCTGTCATGATAAGAACCTTAATTAACTCATTTTGTTTGTTTTCATTTTTGGTAGGTATACATCCCAAAGATGGGAGAATTTTCTCCACTCGCTTAACCATTAGAGCACCTGTTGTGTCTTGTTTTGTCCATTGTTGAGTTTGCATTTAAAGCAAAGCAGTAAAAACAAGACTAATGATAATACATAAGTCCTATTGCACGCTCTGTTTATTGATAAGAAGATGGTAAAGATTTCTGCTCATTTACCTAAGTGTGTATTTATGGAAATTAGTGTCATCATGAAAGTTAAAGTTATGATCTAACGGTGGCCTGATACTGATAATACTAAGTGGGTTCCCCCGACCCCATCTGGGTATTGTACAATAATGCCTATCTTTTTGTTCTTGGTTGGTGCAATAATGATCATATGATAGGCAGCTTTTTTAGATCATGAAATTCAAAAAAAGAGGCTGAAATTTGTTTGGTGGGGTGAACTCTGTTAATTTTGATTAACTTTTTTAAATTTGCTGTCTACTAAAACTGGATTTCAAGCACAAACTGTACAGTGAACAAGTTAATTTACATTCACTGTAGAGTTACTGAAATTAGATGGCTTTTTTTACTTAATGAACCTGGTTTTGATTGTGGAATAAGAGCATACGCTATTTTTCTGAACTTACACAGTTTCAAGTTTTTTACTGCTTACATGTGCTTTTTCATTTGGCTTTGCAGGCAGTGTTTTGGTTAGTTGTTCCGAAATTGATTAGGGAAGAGAAGATTAAGATGATCATGACAATACTCCTATTAATCTTCTTGTTTCAGTACCTTCCCAAGGTTTACCATAGCATCTGCCTGATGAGAAGGATGCAGAAAGTTACAGGATATATTTTTGGTACCATCTGGTGGGGGTTTGGCCTTAATCTCATTGCTTACTTCATTGCCTCTCATGTAAGGCCGCGTTGCTTTTTCTCAAAAAAAATGGTCACCACAGCACAGGATTTTTCACAGCTTTTGTTCATGTTTTTGTTAATGATTGTTCACAGGTTGCTGGAGGTTGCTGGTATGTCCTCGCAATACAACGAGTGGCGTCATGCCTTCGTCAACAATGTCAAAGAAAGGCTCATTGTGATCTCTATTTGTCATGCTCAGAGGAGGTTTGCTACCAGTTTCTGGTCCCTGCAGGAGCAATTGGGAATTCATGTGGTAGTAACTCAACCACAACTAAGAGAAAATCCATGTGCTTAGACGTTAATGGTCCCTTCAATTATGGAATTTATCAGTGGGCTCTTCCGGTCATTTCTAGCAATTCTGTTGCTGTCAAGATCCTATATCCCATTTTTTGGGGCCTCATGACCCTCAGGTGAAAAATCGTACCTCTATAATTTGATCGGTTAATTTCCAAACTGTTGACCATGAAAGAGTACCTGCTGCCTTAAATGTTAATTATCCCGCCTTTATGCATATATAACAGCACCTTTGGCAATGATCTTGAACCAACAAGTCACTGGCTGGAAGTAATGTTCAGTATATGTATTGTGCTGAGCGGATTATTGCTCTTCACTCTGTTGATTGGAAATATCCAGGTAAGTTATACAAATTTTCATGGAAGCGGAAAATGCGATTTTAGTGGCTGACCATTTGCTGTTTCTATGAAGGTGTTTCTGCACGCAGTCATGGCAAAGAAGAGAAAAATGCAGCTCAGATGTCGAGACATGGAATGGTGGATGAGACGCAGGCAATTGCCATCACGTTTGAGGCAAAGAGTTCGCCATTATGAGCGTCAAAGATGGGCTACAATGGGAGGAGAAGATGAGATGGATTTGATCAAAGATTTGCCTGAAGGCCTCAGGAGAGACATTAAACGCTATCTTTGCCTTGATCTCATTAAAAAGGTAGGAACTGATACAAATTCAACGACGTCCCAGCTGCTGCTGTTTCTGATTTCATCTATAACGACAATCTCATTTATATTTTCTTATTGCTCTATTGGCTACTTGTCAGGTACCTTTGTTCCATAACTTGGATGATCTCATTCTCGACAACATATGTGACAGGGTGAGGCCCCTAGTCTTCTCCAAGGATGAAAAGGTGAAAATTTTCACAAACTTTAAAATCATTCCCACTAATCAATATGCTGAAATTATCTATGTTCATTTGGAAAACAGATAATTAGAGAAGGAGATCCTGTGCCAAGGATGGTGTTCATCGTCCGCGGACGCATAAAACGAAACCAAGGCTTAAGCAAAGGCATGGTAGCCACAAGTGTGCTAGAACCAGGAGGCTTTCTAGGTGATGAGCTACTCTCCTGGTGCCTTCGCCGCCCTTTCATCGACCGCCTTCCAGCATCATCTGCAACATTTGCTTGTATGGAATCAATAGAGGCATTTGGTCTAGATGCAAACAATCTCAAATACATCACAGATCACTTCAGGTACAAATTTGCAAATGAGAGGCTCAAAAGAACAGCAAGATACTACTCATCGAATTGGAGAACTTGGGCGGCAGTGAACATCCAATTCGCTTGGCGAAAATACAGAATGAGGACTAGGGGTCCTGTGATTCCTGTAATTGAAAGTGGCAGCAGCAATGGAAACATGCTCCTCAAATATGCTGCAATGTTCATGTCAATTAGACCTCATGACCATCTTGAATAACTAAGAACTAGCTAGCCTTAGTAATTTTCAATTCTTCATTCTCTGTTAGTCATCTTCATTGCTCAATAAAAGCTCTTTGCCTTTCTCTAGGTAGGAAATTGGTCATGGAAGTCTTGTAACTTTTGTATTTATTTTAGATGAAATAATAAAAGAAAGATATATATATATATATATATATAGATCTTCGCTCTTCGAAAATTTTCCAAGATAAACTATAGAACTTAAGCGTGTTTGGAAATTAAACAGAAGCGCTTTCAAATAAGTACTTCTCCAAAAAGCACTATTTTTTTTTTTTTTTTATGTACGAATAAACACAAACCAACCTGACATACTTTGAAGAAAATAGACACTCATGCATCTTTCTTGTCAATCCAAACTGTAATTTGATTGACTTTTGTTTCAAGTCAGTCAATGACTCTCCTTTTTTTCCTCTACGTTTGGGGTGGAGAAAAAACCCCTCCACAAATAGCAAAACCTACCAACTCTTAACAACAATGTTTTTTTGTTTTTCTCTTTCATTTGAAACCCAATGGAGATCGCCATTATCATCTCCTGGCTTCCATGAAGCACTTTCCAGGGTCTCCAATTCTCTGAATTGGGTTCTCAAATATCCATTTTCCCCTCCCTTGGATTTGCTTCTTTTTTCTCCTGCAAAACTCAGCCAGGAGTTATCTTTATGTTCAACTTCAGCTCTGCAGGTACATTAATTACATGCCCACATGCAAAAGAAAAAAAAAATTTCCTCTTTATCAAATAAATATCTTCTTTTATCAAAACAATGATTAGGGTTCTTAATGTTGCAGTGGATTGTTGGACAAGCAATCATTATTTTGACAATGGAAGTCGATCATTTTCTTCATTTTCTTTTCTGCAGGTACCTTGTTGTTGGTTGATAGTTTATTGGTTTAGCAGCCAAATGGGGTCCAAGTCTTCAAAGCAGTCAACAGACTCAACACCAACCACCAGAGGAGACGATCTCCATTTCCAAGTTCTCTCTTTTCTCACTAAAAGTTCTTATATTCGTAACTTGGTGTCGAAGCAACGCCGGAGGATGCTGGTTGAAGGTTATGATCTTGACATGTCCTATATCACAGACCGTTTGTTAGCCATGTCTTTTCCTGCAGAACGAATGAGAGCTGTTTACAGAAACCCTCTTTGGCAAGTCAAGTCTGTGCTAGACATGAGACACAATCAACATTATAAGGTGCACTATATCTATAAAATGCTTTACCTATGTTTTAATTATGTGTTATTTCATGAAAATTTATCATCCGCTAGTGTTAATAATCAAACCAACATTTAGGTTTATAATTAAGTATGATAGATCATTTTGCCTAATAGATTAGTCTTTTGGGTTGATTTTTCAAACAAGAAGATAGATGGTATTGTTGGTATCGTGCTCGTCCCCCACGGTTGACGTTACCAATATGTAACATTAATTGTTTGGATAAATACTTTTGATATGTCATGCCCAACGGAATTAATGTGCTGTATAATGTGTTATTTTTGGTTTTGTTTTGCAGGTGTATAATTTATGTATAGAAGAATGTTATGATCCAGAACATTTTTATGGGCGTGTAGACAGATACCCTTTTGATGACAACCATGTTCCACCTCTCGAAATGATCAAGCTTTTCTGTGAGAGTGTGCATTCATGGCTATCAAGTGACCCAAAAAATATTGCAGTTATTCATTGCATGGTATAAGTGTTTGTTTAAATGCTCAAAAGAAATTCTGTTGCTATCAGTTTATTACATTATGATTCACTCCCTTGATTTGCAGGCAGGTAAAGGTCGAACAGGGTTAATGGTATGTGCGTATCTTGTTTACAGTGGCATGTCAGCAGAGGAGGCTCTGCAATTATATGCTCATAAACGAACTACTAACAATGAAGGAGTAAGTCATGTTAGGTATTTGCTTAATTAAATCACCCTGAACTAATCTGTTATGAATCATTTAAAAACTTCAATAGATTTCATTGGGGCCAAAAGTAAGCAAATATTATCTTTAATGTGCATAACTGCAGACAGAACGTTCAATAATTCAATCAATTTGGCCTTAGGGATGCAAGCATTATCCTTTAGAGATGGGGATAGAGCTAGGCGGAGCGAAAAGGGTTACCAAACTTCGATTTGTTCTTGATGCAAATACCTGTTATCTCTCTAACTCAATTAGGCTGCAGCTCTTTTAGTATTCTGCATACTACATATCATCCATTACTGCTGGTTTTATACTTTGCTGGGGGTGGCTATACATTATTTTGCTTGTGTTGTAACAGGTCACTATACCAAGCCAAAGGCGTTATGTCGGTTTCTGGGGCAGCACACTTTCTTTTCCTAGGGGAATTCATAATGGACCTCCAGATGTGAACTTGCCACAAAAATGTAGCAGAGAGTTGCTGCGAGTTCGACTTTATGACACCATTAACACTAACCCAGTCTTCTTTGTGGTGTCAGAGTTGCAAAAGGTGAGTCCACACCATTGAAACAAATTCTGTGTTAAAACTTAGAATGGATATATATGTTCTCATTTTAGTTAATTGAAAGCAAATTCTCTTCCTTTTTCCACAGGTTCCAGGTGAGCTGTACAGTCCAGCTATGGAAGTTTCTCGGAGCGTTTGCAGACAAGTAAGAAAAGGATATGAGAAAAATACTGATGCACGATACTATGTCTCCTTCATCGATGATGATAATGGAGAAGGAAAGAAATCAGAATCAGGAGAACGTGTGGTTGTCCAAATGGACACAGAATCCCCCATAATCTACCAAAAGACCTGTCTTGATCATTGTTTTGACAAACCTTTACTAGTAAGTCACATAATTTTATATGTCTCCTTTCCTATTCACTCAGGCAACACTTTCAGGAATCAATTTGCCAGCACTTTAAGACACTTCACTTTCAGTAATAGTGAACTATAATTGTCTTCATGAAAAGACAGCATTATAAATTATAAGCTGTAAGATTCCCAGGAAATTTCCTACCAAGTTTGTGCACATCTTTTTCCTACTTTAAGTTCTTATCTTTGTCTCCTATGTTCAGTACCAAAAGTGTCACATTGACAACATATGATTGAACAGGTCAGTGGTGATGTTCGCGTAATATTCTACCAGAAAATGGTCGGATCACGCCTCTTCTACGCTTGTTTCAATACATCATTCATCAAAAACGGCTTGCTACAGGTACTTCCAGGAGTTCATGATTCTTAAATTTTTTTATCATTTTACTTGTGCAAGAAGATTCACTTTTTGTGCTCTTTCTTTTGCTGGTTTTTCTGAACTCTGCAGTTCTCCTTGAGGGATTTGGATAAAGTTGGAAGCAAAGGTAGATCAATTTGCGGCCCGGCTTTCTGCCTGGAGTTGCTATTTGGACCTGCAAATCCTAAGTCTTCAATGTCACAAACAAATGACGAAGACGAGGACGATGGTGATGGTGATGGTGATGGTGATCTTAGAACAAATTCATCCTGAAATTAATCTCCAAACCAGCAGCATACATTTAACGATGACAACAACGATGATGAAGGTGGTTTTACTGCGAATTCGTTCTGAAATCTTCAACCGTAGATAAACTTTCAACCGGTACAAATGTGTCATACACAGATTCAATGTAATATCCTCACCAAATGGATCGAAAATGGATGAACATTTGATTCCTCCCCCCGGCTTGGCCCCTGGTTTTTTCGTGGTGGGGTTAAAGCACTAGGAAAAATAAGAGCAAGATCAAAGTTAGTACATTAGAATATTTCTACCATTTTTGTCTCTGGTTTGTGAATGAAAAATGAATCAAATTGTCATCATCACCATTATACATGGGTACATTTTTTCTCTTCTGCATTCATGTTCATAAGTTATTGTCCTTAATTTTGGGAGTGTGTTTGCAAAATTTGAGAATTGAGTGAAAACATGTGAAAAAGCTTTATAATATTTAGTGTACAAAACTACCCTTTGGTGACCGAATGGTTCGATAAAGACTCTTGGATATATTACTTAAGAGGTTCTAAGTTTGAATCTCTCATCGGTTGCTAATAGGGATAGTCACTTAAGCTCTTATTCGATCGATAGTTTCAGGGTCCTTAAAAATTAGTTGAGATGTGCGTCGGACACCCTTGGTCATAAAAAAAAAAATATATATATATTTAGTGTACAAACAATAATTTTGGATTAAATGATACATGTTAAATATTTATAAATAAATAAAGCAAACAATCAGCACCAATAACATATTTTAGATGGGGTTTTTGAACCAAACCAAAAATCTGTCTTTTTTGTTTTATTTAATTATTTAAAAAAAATTAAATAGAGATGAAATAAATTTATTTTTTTAAAATTCAATTAAAAAATAAAAAAAATTGAAATAAAGCCCAAATTTGTTAGGCCCAAATTGGCCCATCAAACCTAATCCTATTCGTAGTTCAATTATGAGAATTCTTGTCTTGATTGATTCTGAAGTAAGCTAGAAATGAGAATTCTAATTCTTGTAGAAGTCTGAACGACGTCGTATTTGTTTCTCATCCATATATTTATTCGTGTTCAAACTCTTAAAAATTCTTTCTTTCATCTTCTGCACTCTTTCAATTCATCCATCAATCAATCATTGAATCATTTACCTTTTCAAACCCTTACTTTCTCTCTTACTTTCCCTCCGTTTCCGGTGGTTTCCCGAGAAAATAAAAAATCTGAACTCTAAATTATTACGCAATGTCAACGCAAAAACCGCAGAGATCACCGGAAGAAATCGAGGATATAATCCTCCGCAAAATCTTCCTCGTCCGATTGACCGACGCCGCTGACTCCAACGCCGATTCGCGAATCGTGTACCTCGAATTGACTGCCGCCGAAATCCTCAGCGAAGGTAAAGACCTAAAGCTTACTCGTGATTTGATGGAGAGGATTCTTATCGACCGGCTTTCCGGTAGCTTCCCCGGTGCCGAGCCGGCGTTTACTTATTTGATCAACTCGTATCGTCGCGCTCATGAGGAAGGTAAAAAGATAGCGAATATGAAGGATAAGAATGTACGGAGTGAATTGGAATCGGTGATTAGGCAATCGAAGAAGCTTTTAGTTTCTTATTGTAGAATTCATTTAGCGAATCCAGATTGTTTCGGTGGCAGTGAAGAGAAGAAGAGTAATAAATTCGATGCTTCAAATGTTTCGCCGTTGTTGCCGTTGATATTTTCGGAGGTCGGAGGAGGAATAGAAGGGTTTGGAGTAAGCAGTAGTGGTGGTAGTGGGGCTCAGTGTCCGCCGGGATTTTTGAAGGAATTTTTTGAGGAAGCTGATTGGGATAGTTTGGACCCGATTTTGAAAGGGTTGTATGAGAATTTGAGGGGAAGTGTGTTGAATGTTTCGGCATTGGGGAATTTTCAGCAGCCATTAAGGGCATTGTTGTATTTGATTAGTTTTCCGGTTGGAGCTAAGAGTTTGGTGAATCATCCGTGGTGGATTCCCAAGAGTTCTTATACGAATGGGAGAGTTATCGAGATGACGAGTATTTTGGGTCCCTTTTTTCATGTCAGCGCGTTGCCTGATCCTACTTTTTTCAAGAGCCAACCTGATGTTGGGTGAGTGATACTTTCGAACTCTTTTAAAGCTAGCATTTTTTAAGTTTTGAAGTTAACACTCAGAAAGTTAGCAGTTTTTGTTTCTGAATTGGGAAGAACTCAAAGTTGGAAATTTTTAGGTTTTTCTTAATCACTTGATGTTTATTTAGTTAAGCGTTTGTGAATGCTTTCCTTTATTTACATATGAACCTATTGACTTAACTACCTGTGGATGCAATGTTTACTACCGAAGAAGGGTGTGTTATTGATATATCACTTGTCTCTTGCAATCACCAGCCAGCAGTGTTTCTCTGATGCGTCAACTCGTCGACCAGCTGATTTGTTATCGTCTTTCACCACAATAAAGACGGTAATGAAAGGTTTATATAAGGATCTTGGAGATGTTGTTCTCGCTCTCCTGAAAAATACAGAGACACGGGAGCATGTTCTTCAATATCTTGGAGAGGTTATAAATAAAAATTCTTCCAGGGCCCATATTCAGGTTATTTTCCCCTCCTTGATGTCTTTCAACTATTTAGTTATGTAACTGTTTCACTAAATAAGTGTATTTATTGATTATAACTACATCCTTTGGTCTACTTTAACAGGCATCTTACTTTACATGTTTCACAGGTTGAACCTATGTATTGTGCAAGTTCTGGCATGTTTGTCAACCTTAGTGCTGTCATGCTTCAGCTGAGTGATCCATTTTTAGATGCAAATTTAACTAAAAGGGATAAAATTGATCCCAAATATGTTTTCTACAGTAGTCGTTTGGATCTGAAGTGAGGGCCTTATCTGTACTTAACAATTATTTTCATCTGTATCTGATTATACATATATTTACTGCTGATGTTCCTAATCATTTTTTGAATCTATATCAGAGAGTTGACTGCTCTTCATGCATCATCAGAGGAAGTTGCTCAATGGATTAATAAAGATAGTCCTGGGAAAATAGATGTCTCTGGACAATATAGTGATGGTGAGAATCGATTGCTACGATCTCAAGAAGCCGCCAGTTCCAGCAGCTTTGCGTCTGAACCTTCTCTTCAGAATGTGAAGCCAACATCAAGTGTTGGTGCAGGAAAATCTAAATACCCATTTATCTGTGAATGTTTCTTTATGACTGCAAGGGTGCTCAACTTGGGCCTGCTAAAAGCATTTTCTGACTTTAAGCATCTAGTTCAGGTATATTGCATGAATGGCTTCTACATGGGCAAGTGTTGGATACAAAATTTTTTTTTTTCTGAGCATTTCTTTCTCTGGTTTCTAATTGTTTAAGTATGCCTTGCAGTACAGATGAGTGGGAAAAAAAAAAAAACTTATTTATTATTTATTTATCCAGGACATTTCAAGAGCTGAAGATACACTTGCCACTTTAAAAGCCATGCAAGGGCAGACACCTACTCCACAATTGGAGCTGGATATAAAACGAATTGAGAAAGAAATTGAATTGTACTCACAGGAGAAGCTTTGTTACGAGGCTCAGATTTTAAGGGTATATCATGTCTCCTCTCTCCTCTCCTCTCAACCCATACAAATATACCCAGTGTATTTGCTTACCTGTGGCACCTTTGAACCTCTGTTGTTGGTTAAGAACGTTTACATTTTTCTTGTTGAGTTTGGCACTTTTGTTGAGTATTAGAGTAATGGGACCAAGGTTTGAATCATATCATAGTGGAATATGATCATGCCAATAAGGTCAGTTAGTGTGTCAATTTATCTGGTGTTGGTGTGGCAATTGATCTGGTGTGTCAGATGGACTTGCTCTTTAGTTTGTGTGCCAGTATATTCCCCCATTTAGGTTTTTTTCTCCTTAGATTCTTGGTTGCCTCATTTGTGGTCTTACTTTTTCTCTTCTGTAGTTTCGTTGCCTTGTTCAACCAGAAATTCTCTCTTCAACTGACATTTTTGTCATCTATTATACTTGTTTTATTTTTCTTTTGAAGGATCCGGATCTTATTCAGCATGCGCTCTCTTTCTATCGATTAATGGTGGTTTGGTTGGTTGACCTGGTTGGTGGGTTTAAAATGCCTTTGCCATCAACTTGCCCAATGGAATTTGCTTGTATGCCTGAGCATTTTGTGGAAGATGCAATGGAATTGCTTATTTTTGCCTCACGGATTCCAAAAGTGTTGGATGGGGTCTTGCTGGTAGGTTGTGTTCTTTATTCAAGAGTTTTGCCCTTTGTAGTCACTGGTAACTCATGTTTTTTGAATGGCAGGATGATTTTATGAACTTCATTATTATGTTCATGGGAAGTCCAAATTTTATTAGGAACCCTTATCTCAGAGCTAAGATGGTTGAAGTTCTGAATTGCTGGATGCCGCGTAGAAGGTGATTTTATATCTTGAAATATTTTTTTTGGTATTTTCTCCTGAATTTTACAAACTGGATTTTCAGCTAATTGTTGCAATTTTATTTATTGTGTGCAGTGGCTCATCATCTGCCACAGCTACTCTATTTGAAGGGCATCAAATGTCTCTTGAGTACCTTGTGAGGAATCTGTTGAAGCTATATGTTGACATCGAGTTCACGGGTTCTCACACACAGGTGATTCCCAATTCACATAAGTTAGTTAAGATTATTGTCATCTAAACAGTGCATGTGACCATAAAGAAAAAAGGGTAATATAGGGAAATCTTTGCAGAGCATATACAAAAATGTTCTATTGCATTCTATAAAAAGTGATCACAAGAAAGATGTTGAATTTTACTTATTACAAAATGGTTTCTTTTTTATGGCTATGATTCTGAAAATCATTGATGGACATATTCACTTAACAGTATCTTGTGAATCCACTTATTTCATATGTATACTACAAAGATACTTGTTAATATGTCTAGCATCAATAGTATGTAGAAGCATGATTATTACTTTCTATGTTTAAGATACTTGAAACTGTGTCTTATAACTTTTCACTGCTGTCTAGTCAATTTTTTTCCATCTTTCATGGACAAATGAATGCAAATAAAATATGAGCTCAAAAAGGGATAACCTGTTATTGTGTAAAAAATGAACAAATTAAGTCCTCACTTTTTATCAGGATACTTCATATTTTGGATGCCATATTACCTGACCCAGAAAGGGAGTTTAATGATAGTACTTAGGAAGTTAACAATGCTGCATACGAGGAGATGAATGTTGGGTATGCTTATTCAATATGACTGGAGAAGGAAGGCTTGTTTTATTTATTTATTTATAATAATTATTATTATTAATTTTTATTTTTTTTGAGTTTTCTATCATAACAGTATTGCTAGGTTGGTCCATGTGGGAGCCATCCTATGCCAAGTATGAAGCATCATTATCTTTAGTTTTGGCATTGGGAATTGAGTCAATATTTGTCATGGTACTGACCAGGGGTCAGAGTCCATTATTGGTTTCTTTAGTTTGTTGTGTGTCAATTCATGAGACAGTTGTCAACTCATTTAATTTTTCTGACTCCCTTCGTTGTTTTATTTGTTTGTTTCTTTGACAATCACAGATGTTAATGTTCACTCCAATTTTTTTGAGTATTGCTTGTTAATAGCTTCTTTTCTGTCCTGCACAGTTCTATGATAAGTTCAACATCCGCCACAATATAGCTGAACTCCTTGAGTACCTATGGCAAGTCCCTAGTCACCGTAATGCTTGGATGCAGGTAGTTATCTTTTTCATTTACCTACACTGGGAACTTCAAGTTGATGCTTCTGTTATTTGAATACACTATCCCTTGGCTTGATTAACTGTAATATTTTTCACTCCAGATTGCAAAGGAAGAGGAAAAGGGTGTTTATCTGAATTTCTTGAACTTCCTCATCAACGATAGCATTTATCTTCTTGATGAAAGTCTTAACAAAATTTTGGAAATCAAAGAGATTGAAGCTGAGATGTCAAACACAACAGAATGGGAGCGAAGACCAGCTCAAGAGAGGCAGGAGAGAACCCGACAATTCCATTCACAAGAAAATGTTAGTGTGATTATTTTACTTCTCTGTATGGTATGTCGTGGATTCACAAACTCAATAAAAAATATTATTGTGTTCAGATTATACGAATTGATATGAAATTAGCCAATGAGGATGTGAGCATGTTGGCATTCACTTCGGAGCAGATTGTAGCTCCTTTCCTACTTCCTGAGATGGTAAAATCTTTCTCCGCTTCACTGCTTCTACATTTTTGCTATTAAAAATCAAGGAAACAAAAGCTACAATTGATTTTCAATGAACCTAAATTTTCTACTTTTTTTTTCATCAGATTGAAAGAGTGGCCAGTATGCTCAATTATTTTTTGTTACAACTTGTGGGCCCCCAGAGAAAATCTCTTACTCTTAAAGACCCTGAAAAGTATGAATTCCGTCCAAAGCAGTTGCTGAAGCAGGTTAGCAGTTGACCCAAAACTTTTTTCTTTGTTGAACGTTCTTTCCTTATTTAATTTTTGGGAGGGGGGATTAAAACATAATGCAACACAGATTAGCATTCTAAGACCGCAAAGTAAAAGAAATGCAAGGTTTGTTATATAATTTATTAAAGGGATCTTGGTCTTTTCCTATTTGTTTCCTTCTGGGAATCATGTTTAGCATGTTATCCATATCCTTATTTGTGTTGTTTTTGTCAATATATCTACTTTCAGTAGAGGTTAATGCTCATGAGGTAGAGAAGCAGATGGCAGTATTTATTGAATCATTTAAATATTTGATGCCATCAACCCTCCTCTACCAGATTTTACCAAATCTTATAAATCATATTAGATGGGCTGAAGGATAGCTAACCTAAAAAAATTTTGTTGATGTATTTGAAGATTGTCCACATTTATGTTCATCTGGCTAGGGGTGATGAGCAAAACATTTTTCCAGCTGCTATCTCCAGTGATGGTCGATCATACAATGAGCAGGTAATCCAGCTTAGTCAAAGCTTTCATGATCAATTTCTATTCAAGTTTAATATTTTCGTCTCATGAGATTTGGGTTAAGTGACTCAATCTAACAAATCAACCCCACTTCAGTTGTTTGGTGCTGCAGCTGATGTGCTTCGGAGAATTGGTGAAGATGGGAGGGTTATTCGGGAGTTTGTTGAGCTTGGTGCAAAAGCTAAAGCTGCTGCTTCCGAGGCTATGGATGCAGAAGCTACCCTTGGAGAGATACCTGATGAATTCTTAGATCCAATTCAAGTATGTTTTCTGTCTTCTTTATTCTTTATTTTCGAACCATAACTGCTGCTCTACTTTGTTTTGCTGACTTATGTTACTAGTATCTGGATTTTGTCCAATTCACTTTGATTACTGAAATAGACTTTGATTCTTTTGCTTCTGCAGTACACTTTGATGAAGGATCCAGTGATCTTACCTTCTTCGAGGATCACAGTGGACAGGCCAGTTATTCAAAGGCATCTTCTTAGCGATAGTGTATGCATCCTTTCCTCGCTTTATATTCTTACGGAATCTAGGATTGAGAAATGAAAAAGAAAAAAAAAAAAAAAAAAAGAAGTTAATTGTACATTATGGTAATTTGCTTTTAATTTGCAGACGGATCCATTCAATCGCTCCCATCTTACGGCAGACATGTTGATAACAGACGAAGAATTGAAGGCAAGAATTGAGGAGTTTGTGAGATCCCAAGAATTAAAACGGCATGGAGAACGCTTAAACATTCAGAGCATAAAGGACTCAATACAGACAACAAATGGTGAGATGTTGATTGATTAGAACAAAATAGTTTGGATTTTGTAATGGTGAATTGGATTCACAAAAGCAGAAAAGATTCAAGGGGATCATGTTAAAGTTGCATTATTTATATATATATATATATATTTATTCATCTATTTTCAGGGAAATGTTTCAAAGACTTGTAACCTCCCGATCCTGTAAAGTTATACAACATTATTTGCAATGTTAAAATATGTATAGATTTCCCTTATTTAATTATACCGAGTCTTTTGTGTCTATCTCGTAACCTCTATGTCATTTTATTGTACTATTGAAACAATATGCAACTTTTCTCAAGATTGGCTACTAAAATATAAGTTCTACAATGTTTCTGAAAATGGAAAACTCAGGCTTAAGAATATAATTCATTGTAGGCAAAGGCAATTTGTTTCTTCTTTTAGCACAACATCCCATCTGGGCTTCTTCTTTGGCTTCATGGTGTATGACTTCTTTGCAGTCATTTTCCAGAGGGATTTTGGGTCACAATTTGTGAATATTCCCTAAGGTTACACTTCATCACAGGGGCATACTCGCCTTTCGCTTGGCATAATCCTGGGCTATGCTTATCGCACTCTTGCTGTGACGCAGTAAGAACTCTGCTAATAGGATTTGTTTTTCTTCCGACGTCAGATCACCATGACAACCCTGTAAACAAAAACAAATAGTATAATGAGAAAAGCTTCTGACGAGCAACGACGTAATTTGTAAGGTCTAAAAGCTTTACCGTCATACATCATCTCAGTGGATGAACATAAATTTCCTACTGTCTAGTATGAACTTGTTTACAGGGAAGTTCTCTAGCTTTTTGTTTGTCATTTGAATATAAATAGTCACAAGACCTAATGGATAAATAACATAACCAAAACAAATCTGTAAACAACAACGCTAGAGTATATGTGACGCTGATGTGAAGATACCCAATCATAGCTAATTCATGAATGTTTCCCGGGGAAATTTCGGTCTAATTTCTCTCATAGCTAGAGAATGGAAGTGCAAAAATCATTACCAAGCGAAAAGCACGGTTGCAAAGAGCATGATGCATGAGGATGCCTGCAGCAACCGAGACGTTAAAAGAATCCACCATGCCTTTCATTGGAATACTGCAGTGCAAATCTGACAGTTCCAGCGCCTCATCACTTATTCCCCTGCAAATAAGAGTTCACCATCATTTACTACAGTATTAAATTTCTTTAAAATCGTAAAAATCACTGTAGCTCCCAAGAACTCAAGCAGATTGAAAGATTAACATTTCATATTTCATATTTTCTTCTGAAAATATGAAAAAGTAAATGAATACTAACAGAAAAACTAGCTGAGACAAGAAGCTTTAAATTTTAAGAGTTAAGGTAAAAGCTATACAAATGTCATTACCTACTTTCGTTCCCCACTACTATTGCAGTCGGGCACGACCAATCCATGTCATAAATGGAAACCTGAGCATAGCAGCAAAAAGTGAGTAGTGCATATGTCCAGATCAACAACTTGTGGACACAAAATACTCAATACTAGGTGTTATTGTTATTAAGAGAAAGGTTGCAAGCTTGATGAATACCGCATCCATGCCCACATGCGTTGTGGCAATTCGATAACCTCGTGATTTTAAAACTTCAAAGCACTCTTGGGGAGTGTCCCAAAGTTCAATGTCCAACCATTTCTCTGCGCCCATGCTGACATGCCGATTTTCTCTATATCTGCAAACACAGTGATTTTTGAAAAGCAAAAAATTAGTTTTGGCTAAGAAGCAAAAAACTAAACCACCCAATAGTAAACTACAATTATAATTATATAATCTCCATGAATAGCCCATTATCAAACATCAAAACTGGTAGAGAAGATGTCATTCATGGTAATAAATATCAAACTTGTCCTCCTAAAAATTATATTAACCTCAAAATCAGGGTAAAACACTATGCACATAATAAACAGTCTAGTTCTTATTACATACATAAAATATAGCTATTAAATCCTTCATTAATAATTAAATATAAGTATGTCACGCTATACAAAAGCATAATTCAGACCGAAACTAGAAATTAAACAGGGAGGAAATCATATTCTTTTTCAATCCTAAGCAAATTAATAAGTACTTGAATAGCCCACACTCTATAAAAATAACAATCAATATCGAATAACATAACCAAAACAACCAAATCAATCAGTAATCACCCGAAACTCTCTTCCCAAACAAACCAGATTATACAAAATATCTAACACACGTAAACAAGATTAAACATAGATAACAAAAGCTTCACTAAACCCAAAACCAATGTCAAAACAATTACAAACACATACTAAATCAGAAAAAATAAAATAAAGAAAAATAAAATCAACCTTATCCCCACCCACCTTATAGTCAAACTAAATTTCTCCCAATTATAATATCAGTGAGATTAGATTTGAAGATGTTATCAATCACCTCAGCGGAACCAAATTGTTACGACAATGAACAAGCAAGAAAAGCATCTAGAAATTGTAACCATTTAAATTTATTCATAAACCAAACATTTGCGATATCTACTCAGTAGGGGTGTTCAAAAGTGGTTAATCGAACCGGTTAACCGCTTTTCTGAACCAAACCGGTTTTTCGGTTTAGAAAAATTCTCGAACCGAAACCGAGCCGGTTTGGGAGGAAAACCGGTTTTTCGGTGAACAAGTTTTCCCCTTTTTTATTGGATAAAACTTATTTTATTTTTAATTTTTTCCTAAATTAAATTGCAAACATAAACAATACATATCCAAATAAAAATTAAACATTCATACATATTAAAAATTAATATATATATATATATAAACCAGTTCAAAAAACCGGTTTTGATTTTTTTCCGAACCGGTAACCGAACCGAAAATCCAGTTTTTTGAATTTTTTGAACCGTAACTGAACCGTTTTTTCGGTTAACCGGTTTTTCGGTTCAGTTGTCACACAATACAACTTGAACAGACTGCATCCCCAGAGCATCAGCTAACCAAAACGCATACTAAAGTCATCACAAAGTATAATTTTTTCACCCTTACCCCTATCCCTCTTATGGGTACACTAAATTCCCCCCAATTATGACGCGAACTGCAATTACATTTTAAGACATTATCAATTAGCTTAGCAGGAACTAAAAATCACAACAATGAATAGCTCAAACAATAGCAATCAAAATTCTTCAAAGAAACACCATTTCACCTCAAACTTCCTTGCACCTTTTCGAGCTGTCACACGATACGACATGAACAGACTGCACCCCGAGGGCATCAGCCGACCGAAACGCAGCTGAAACATTCCCGAAATCACTGAGCCCCTCCACCACCAAACACACCGAATAACTCCTATTCTTCACCACATTCACAAACCTGTCCTTCCTCTCCGCCATCAAGTACGGCCCCACCGCCTCCACAACCTCACTACTATTCAATGACACCTCTCCACACTTATACCTATCCAAGTACGGGAACCACCGCCTATTCTCCCCGCCTCCTCCGCTCAAGGCGCCCATCGGCCGCCGCTCCATTTTCATCAACTGGGTCACGTCATCTTTATTCGTAAGTAACTTCTCCACGGTGTCATTAGCTGATGTCGTGTCGGTCTCTTCGTCATTGTGTTGTTCGTTCACTAAGAAGCTATTAGTAGTATTACCATCAGAGGTTTCTACAGAAATCGCAGCTTGAACGGTGCCGTATTTTCTCGCACGGACATACGGGAAACTGGGTCCTATCAAATTATAAGTAAAATCAATAATTGGGGAAAAATATTAAAATTTTAAGGTGTTTAATGAAGTATTAGAAATTAAAATAGAAAACTTAAATGTGTCTATTTGGGTACCTTGTTTTGGTTGGCGAAGAGAGAGGGAAGGAAAGAAGAGATTCGGGGAAAATGAGTGGAATTTCGAATCGAGGGAGGAGAGAGATGTACGGATTAGGGTTTTGCAGGAGCTCATTTTTGTGGTTTGGCGCCAAATGAGAGTGGATAGGGTTTTGGTTTGGGGTTTTTCTTCTCTTTCTCCTTGTGGAAGATGACAATTTAAACGACGGCGTTTCCTAAACGCTATAAGACGTCGTTTGCTTCTTTCCTTCCCTCTTTGTGTTTATAAAATGTAAAATCCTAACGGTAAATTAATATTAAGTTAAAATTAATCAATAATATGGATTTTATCGTGTTATTCAGTGTATAAACTCAGTACACTATTTTGATGATCGTAGCATTACTCTTGAATAAATATCTTAAACAAAACATAAACTTAACAATTATTATTATTTGATAATCTGGATGTCCGGTCAACTTGTACACATATCAATTAATCTTCGAAGTCTATTAAATACCCTACAAACTGTCTGATCAACTTGTACACATATCAATTAATCTTCGGAGTCTATTAAACACCCTACAAACCCAATGTCTAGATAAACTGCCATTAAGATTAACCCATATTCAAACTTCTTATTACACTTGAAAATAATAAAATACATATTCTTAAGATAATTAGATGACAAAATATTTACTTATTTTTATATAAAAATGACAAATAAAATATATAATTAGTCCTAACGTGTACTTGAAAACAACCTATTGTTTTATGTTTAATCTTTCTTGGCCTTCAAGCAAAAGATGCTGACCAATTGCTAGTTTTCTATTCCACACTCGCAAATTCAGTGTATGCCGATCATAAAACCATCTTTCTTCAACAAATTTGACTCAAACTCTTCACCAAACACACACACAGACACACACATATATATATATTCTTTTGAAGTGATCAGCACTATAGTCTGTAGCCAAACCATTTTACAACTCTAAAAATGGCAGATACCAATGAACTCATCATGCCTTCTTCCTCACACATTGCTCTCCTTCCAAGCTCTGGAATGGGACATCTCACACCTTTCCTTCGCCTCGCTCATTTACTCGCTTCGTGTAATGTCAAGGTCACCTTCATCACTCCAGAGCCAACTGTCTCACTAGCTGAGTCTCAGATTTTGTCTCACTTTTTCTCTGCCTTCCCTCAAATTTGTCAAGAAAAACTTCATCTTCTTCCACTTGACAATTTTTCTGCAAGTTCGGAAGATGACCCTTTTTACCACCATATTGAAGTCATTCGACAGTCTTCACGACTTCTCTCTTCTCTTCTCTGTTCAGTATCTCCACCTCTCTCTGCTCTTGTAACAGACATGAGTTTGACAGCTGCAGTGGTTCCAATCACTGAAGCTCTTAAAATTCCCAACTTCATTTTCTTCACATCATCTGCTAAAATGCTAACACTTTTTGTGTCTTTCCACACACTAGCTGGTTCAAAGGCTAATGCAAACTCATATGAGATGGATTATATCAAGATTCCAACTTTAGAACCAATACCCAGATCATGGATTCCCCCATCACTTCTACAAGATACAAATAATCTCCTGAAGACTTACATTATAGAGAATGGTAAAAGCATGACAAAATCAGATGGAATTCTTGTCAACACATTAGAGAGTATTGAGCAAAGTTCATTGCTAGCACTAAATGGTGGCAAAGTCATAGAGGGGTTACCATTAGTCACCGCCATCGGGCTTCTTCCGCCGCTCTATTTTGAAGACCACCAACCACTAGCATGGCTTGATGATCAACCAGCAGGGTCTGTGGTGTATGTTAGCTTTGGTAGTAGGACTGCTATCACAAGGGAACAGCTCAGAGAGCTGGGAAATGGATTGGTGGGAAGTGGTTGTGGTTTTGTGTGGGTGGTTAAAGATAAGAAAGTTGATCGAGAAGATGGTAAAGAGTTGGTCAATGTAATCGGAGATGAACTTATGGAGCGTGTTAAAGAAAAGGGAATGGTGGTGAAGCATTGGGTGAACCAAGAGAGCATCTTGAAACACCCAGCAGTAGGTGGATTTTTGTCTCACTGTGGCTGGAATTCAGTGACTGAAGCTATGTGGCATGGTGTTCATGTTTTAGCATGGCCGCAACATGGAGACCAGAAAATTAATGCAGATCTGGTGGAGAGGATTGGACTGGGGACATGGGAGAAGAGTTGGAGCTGGGGAGGTGGGGAGATAGTGATGAGGGAGCAGATTGCAGAAAAAATTAAGGAGGTGATGGGGAATAAGTTACTGAGATCACAAGCAATGCGCATTAGAGAAGAAGCTAGGAATGGAATAGAACTTGGTAGAGGTTCTAAGAAGGGGCTGACTGAGCTCATTAAGATGTTGAAGAAAGAACGAAGTTGATGATGTTCTAATGTATCTTTTATTAACTTCGCATTTTGTATGGAAGAGATGAAATCAAAGTTAATGTCGTTGGTGCAGAAAACAGCTTACTACAACAATTTATAAGTAGGATGAACAATATAAACACAAAAGGAACTATACGTTCTACATTCTACATTCATAGATGAACTTCAAAATATGAAATTTTAACATGAAATCAGAACAAGATGCAAAGATGCGATTGCTTGACATAAGCATATCACTCTATAATCTCATCAAAGCTATAACCGCTCTTAGCATGCCAGAAAGAGTCAATAGCAGGAAATTTACAAACTCGTCAATTATTCGCTGGAGTTCTATGATAAAAATTCTAAGTTCTTTGTTCTCTGAAAAAGAAAATTATACCAGTTAAGCTTTTAGTGCACTCTTTGAAACAACATCAAAAGATATTCCATTCTCCTGCAGCCGTTGTTGAAGATCTGTTGGGCCAAAGACAATTCCAGGGGGTAAGACTCCTCCCTTGGGTAGATTATCACGTTGGCTCAAAAGAATAAGAGCGCACTGTACTAATATTATCGGAGTGGTCAAATAGCCAATCTCAGGTCCCATTACTCTAGTTATGATTTCCATGTCAGGTTTTATGTTCCCCTGTGAAGCAAGACTGCTGTCACTGAAACCATGTCCAACAAACCACATCTTAAATGAAGCACTTTTCACCTCGTCTTCAGATGGACCCTTCTTCTTGAACCATCCAAGGCTGAAAACTGAAGGAAATTTTAAAAGAAGCCACTTCCCTAAAGAAAATCCACTGAAGAGCCCCATCAACATCCCAACTGTGATGATACGAAAGATGCCAAACAAAGATTTAGTTCCTATCTTTACTCCAAAATAAGCCGGCTTAACTGTTGACCAAAATGCCTCCCTGTTTTCAATCTGTTCAGGACTCTCATTAACCCCAGGAAGACCATGAGGGTTCTCTGCCAAAATTGAAAGAGTTCTTCGGACAACAACAGAATCTGCCGAAGGTAGCTTCACAGCCCAAAGACCAATCTTCTTCTGATGTTCTAGGGTTGGTCCTTTTGGAGGTGGACCAGGAATCTGCAACCAATATAGGTAAATTTAGCGTCAATGTCCAGCTAATTATCCAGGTAGCAAGAGCAAGATATGATAAGAGTTAATTAAAACAGTTACATACACATTACAGATATAATTGTGTAACCACATTTCCACATCAAAGCAAAGACTTAGTTGGAAAAATCATATCAATATAATTGTGTAACCACGTTTCCACATCAAAGCAAAGACTTAGTTGGAAAAATCATATCAATATTCATAAGACGAAATGGAAATTTGACATAACAGGTGTTTTAAAACTATAATTGGTTCAGTTGTATTTGAAATATTATAGGTGGAATACATAAGACTGGGGTATAAGACTGAGTAAGATTAGACAGAACAAAACTAAAACCAATAAAGGCCAAAATGGATACCTATACTTCGGAAACATGAGTTATTCTGCATCCATACATTCTTCAGACAAACCATATAGAGAAATAACACCCACCAACACATTCTATATTAAATTCTATAAACAAATGTAACAATAAAAGTTCTTACCACAGGCCTTGCTCTTTTTGGTCTTGACCGCCTAAGCTCCAGCAACTTTTTTGCATTGGCCACACCCAAAACAGCTGACTCATAAGTTCCAAAATTTCCAACAATTCTTTTCTCAGACTCCAAGCTCAAATAGGCCTCGACTTGGTTCGGCACAGCTTGACAAATCCATTGCCTGGAATTGAACATAAGTCCCAACTCAGCAGGAACTGAATCAAACCCACATGCAGAAATCACCAAAGAACCAGTCTCCACCGCCTTTTCATGGTACTTCGCCTCCATTCTCTCCATGAACTCAGGCTCCCCACATATATCCAAGTAATCACACCTACAAAATTAATTTAAAAAAGAAAAAGAAATTAAAAATATCCCCTGACAAAACATCTTAAAGTAAACTGAAATCCATACAATCATATCGCAACTTATTTTCACCTCTAAACTCCACTAATAAACAATATAAAACAGTCCCAAATGGCCAAAAACTTGAACAAACCATTCACACGCTTAAAAAGTGCAAAAACAGACAAAAAGTTTGATCACATAAAAACACATTCACGAAATATTAAAATATCAAAATTTTGCTAATATCTGTAACACAAAGTAGCAATTTCGAACCCTGAGTTGGCGCAAGCAGCAACCACAGGCTCCCCCAAGAGGCGAAAGGGGCCGACACAGTTGAGAATGACCTTAGCTTGACCACAGAGGCGGTGGAGGGACGGCAGGTCGGTGGTGTCGGCGGTGATGATAGCAATGGAAGGCGGCGGCAGGCTGGGGTGGGCGGCCCATTGGAGGGTTTCGGTCAGCTTGGTGCGATTGCGGCCGGCTAAAGCTAGAGTCTTGAGCGGAGAAGAAGGAGAATTTAGAAACTTTAAGGCCTCTTTGACTACATATTTTCCGGTGAACCCGGAGGCTCCTAGGATTATTATGTCGAATTGAGAATTCTGGGTTTCTTCCATTTCGGTGGCTTTGTCTGGGGTTGGAAAAGTGTTAATTATTGAAGTTCAAGAGTTTTAAGTGAGGTGGTTTAGTTTAGTTAAAGTTTCTGGTTTGCCTAGAGGTGTGTGCCAATTTGTTGAGAATCATGTTAAAAGAATGGGGTAGGTAAGCAAACTTGGGATCTTCTTAATGGTGGTAGAGGGGTGCACGGTATCGGTATTGGTAATACTTATTACCCCGGTAATGTTACTGAGCGGGTATCATTGGGTGGCTTGGCCGTAAATTAGGATTTTAGGTGTATTACTCAAAAAGTCTTAAGTTCAATTCATCTAGGTTGTTAATAGGGGTGACTATTAGGGGATTTATCCGACTGTTAACATTAGGATCCCGAAAGATTAATTGAAGTATACATAAATTAATTTGGATACTCTCGATCAGTAAAAAAAAAAAAAAAAGTTACTAAACAGGTATAACTTTTTTTTTTCCCCTTTTATAATCCAAAATTTTCTAATCTCACTCTGTGAAGCTAAGTTTGAAACTGGAATCCTTACCTAACCTTACAAATTTTTTGAAATTTTTTTGGAACATTGGATCTACCAATATTCCAAGAATATTGTTTCCCGGGATATTAAGAGTACGATAGAATTGTCCAAAAGAATGAAGATAAAGTTTTATTTACAAGATTGAAGTTTAAATCAGAATCAGGACCGAAAGAGAAATAAAAAAGACGTCAAAAGAATGAAAAATTAATTTTACGAATATTTACGACTAGGTAAACCCTTCAGTCGTCGACCTCTTGAGTAATATATCCAAGAGTTCTTATCTAATCACTTGGCCATTCAAGAGTAATTTATTTGATACGGCCTACTCAAAAGTACTTATTCCTTTAAAATAATCACAACCAAATAGGTTATTAAGAGTAATGTTATACCCACAATTTTTTCTCATAACCCCGATATGATAACTCGTCATTAGTCAGCTCGCAAAATGGATCCCGTCAGCTTGTATGGGTCCCGTATGTTCATTTACAAGCTAACCAATAACGAACTGCTATGTTGGAAATGTGAGAGAAAGTTTGTGAAAAGAAGATATAGGTGTAGCATTTTCCGGCTATTAATTGAGCCCATACAAGATGTACCTACTTGTCTAGCTCTATCAAACTATATCCTGAAGTCANTATACATTTAACATTATACATTATATATGATATACATTTGACATTATATATTATACATTATACATTGTATATTATATATGATATATACTATATAAGTATAATGTATATAACATATATATGTTGTACATTATAATTTATACATAATATACTATTATCTATAATCTTACGTTAATATATTTATTGTTTTGATTGATTATAATGAATCTCTAAATCACTATAATATTTTTTTTTTTGTCCCTCATTGAATCATTATTTCAATTCTATTACCTAATTACCTTTGTTATATTGTGAATTGTGATAGCTATTTATTTAGAATTTATTATAATATGTATGGTAGTTATTTATTTAAAATTTATAAAAGTATAAAATTAAGGAAACAAAAATACAAAAAACCCCCAAACGGGCTTTTTTTAGGGATTCCCTGAATGGGCTTCGAGCCGGGATCGGGGAATTCACTGTCTCCGGCCTCGCCCCGGCCCGCGCCCATTCCTAGTGCACGGTATTAGTATTGGTATTGGTAATACTTATTACCCTAGTAATGTTACTGAGTGGGTATCATTAGATGATCTAGCGGTCAATTAGGACTCTTCGGTGTATTACTCGAGAGGTCTAGAGTTCAATTCATCTGAGTTGTTAATAGGGATGTCACTGAAGAGATTTTCAATATTAGGACTCCAAGAGATTAATTGAGGTGTACATAAACTAGTCCAGATATTCCTCATGTTAAAAGAATGGGGTAGGTAACGTTGCTGGTGCAGTAACCAAACTTGGGATCTTCTTAATGGTAGTAGAAGGGTGCACGGTATTGGTATTGGTAATACTTATTACCCCAGTAATGTTGCTGAGTGGGTATCATTAGATGATCTAGCGGTCAATTAGGACTCTTGGGTGTATTACTCAAGAGGTTCAGAGTTCAATTCATCTGAGTTGTTAATAGGGGTGACCTCTGAGGAGATTTTCAACATTAGGACCTCAAGAGATTAATTGAGGTGTACATAAACTAGTCCAGATTTTATTGATTAAAAAAAAAAAAAAAAAAAATGTTACTAAGCAGGTACAACTTTTTATTGCCTTTATATAGTCAAAAATTTTCTATCTCACACCGTCAATCTAAGTTTGAAACTGGAATCCTTATCCTTACCAAAATTTTGAAACTTTTTTGGAACATTAGATCTACCAATATTCCAAGTTACGGCTGTGTTTGTTTTGTTATTTCACCAATATCCTGTCCTTATTCAAAATACAAATGCGCTTTCGTTTCCTATTTTCAAAATCATATTCTAAATTAAAAAACATTTTTAACCCCTTAAGTTTGTTAATTGACAAAAACACCCTCAATAAAAAAATTTATAAATTGACAAAACACCCCTACTCACCTATAGTTACCAGATTCCGGCAACCACCATCGGTGGTGGTTGAAATCTGTCACAACGACACATTATCGGCCGAAAATGGCCTGCAATGCACCGATCTGGCCGTCAACGACGGCCAAGAGATGGCCATCATTGACCATCAACAACGACCATATCTTTGGTCGTCACCGAAGGCCAGATCTGGCTATAGATCTGGCCTTTTCCGGCTAGATCCGTGGTAGGTCTAGTCAAAAAATGTCAGATTGGCTAACAACTGGCCAGATCCGGCCAGTCGTGCGCCGTAACGCCAGATTCTGGCTAGATTCCGATGGTGGGCCTGAATCTGCCCACTATGGGTGAGTGGGAGTGTTTTTGTCATTTTACAAAAATTTTATATATTGAAGGTGTTTAGTTAAATTAGGGAACCTAGGGATTTTTTTTTGTTAATTTTTAAATTCTACCCTATAATAATCACTCAACTCTACTTACCAATAATATTTCAAAAATACTACTTAAAATAATAAAACAAACACACCAGTACGAGTACTACAGAATTGTCCAAAAGAATGAATATAAAGTTTTATTTACAAGATTGGAGTTTAAATAAAAAACAAGATCGAAAGAGAAATAAAAAAGCCGTCAAATAAATGATAAATTATTTTTGTGAATATTTACGACTAGGTAAACCCTTCAGTCGCCGATGTTCTTGTCTAACCATTCGATCATTCAAAAGTAATTCATTTGGTATGGCTTATTCAAAAGTACTTATTCCTTTAAAATAATCACAACCAAATAGGCTATTAAGAGTAATGTTATACCCACAACTTCTTCTCACAACCCCAACGTGACAACTCATCATTGGTCAGCTCTCAAAATGGGTTCCACCAGCTTGTATGGGTCCCGTCTGTCCATTTGCAAGCTAACCAATAACGAACCACTACGTCGGGATTGTGAGAGAAAGATTGTGAAAAGAGGTTATGAGTGTAACATTTTCCGGCAATTAATTGAGCCCATACAAGATGTACCTACTTGTCTAGCTCTATCAAACTATATCCTGAAGTCAATTTAAGCCGTTTCTCCTTCACCATGGCTTTTATTTTGGCAACTTCATCCCATTTTCCCCCTTCTGCAAACAGATTTGACACCAAAGAATAAGCACTTGAATTCTCAGGTTCTAATTCCAGGATGCGCCTTCCGATGACCTCCCCCATTTCCCTATTTCCATACACTCTACAAGCAGCGACCAGCGCAGCTAGCGCAGAAGCACTTTTTGTTGATGGCATACATTTAATCATGTTAAATGCTTCTTCAAGCCTTCCTGCTCGGCTTAACAAATCTACAATACAACCATAATGCTCTGCACATGGAATGATGGAGTATTCTTCTGTCATGGACTTGTAAATTTGCATACCTTCTTCTACCAAACCTGAGTGGCTGCAAGCACTGAGTATTGATGTAAAGGAAACCTCATCAGGCTCAAGCTTTACACTTTTCATTTTACCAAATAATTCGAGAGCCTCAAGACAGTTCCCATGCATTCCATGAGCAGCTATCATCGTGTTCCACGATGTCAGACACTGCTTGTTCATGTGCTCAAACAGATTCCTTGCCATATCTAACTTTCCACATTTGGCGTAAGTAGTAATCAGACAATTGATGATTGGTGTTTGTCCATCGACAAAAGATCGATATAAGTGACAGTGAACTTCCTTTGCCAGACTTAGATATCCAAGTTGAGACAATGCTTGAAGCAAACTCATCAAAGCAACTGAATCATGATCTACTTTTTCTTCCTTCATAATTCGGAATAAGATTAGAGCTTCATTAGCCTGCCCATGATTCAGATAACCCTTCATCATTGAAGTCCATGATACCAAGTCTCTATATCTGATCCTGCTGAAGACTCGTCTTGCATTAGTTAAACAACCACATTTTGTATACATGTTAATAATTTGATTTGCAATTTCATTACTTCCATGAAATCCATGTATGAATACATATCCATGGACACACTTTCCTCGTCTCGTGTCTTTCAGGTCAGACAATGCAGAAAGTACAGGTAATATGGCACCTAAATTTGGTTGAGTACCTGTTCGCACCATTTCAATGAAAAGCTCCAGGGCTTTAGAAGCAAGTTCATTTTGGAGATAACTAGACATCATGACATTGTACGATATTACATCTCTTCTCTCCATTCCTTCAAACAAATTTCTTGCTTGAACTAAATTGTTGCACTTAGAATACAAATCAACAAGGGCAGTGGTAGCAACTTGATCTAGTTGGAATCCATTCCGTGTGATGTAACCATGAATACTCTTTCCTTCCCGGAAAAAAATCAAATCAGCACAACACAAAATCCCATTGGCCAGAGAAATTTGATCGGGCACAACATGTTCTTGCATCATAAGACAAAAAAAGCTCAAAGCTTCCCAGGGCTGTCCCATTTGAAGATGACCAGCTATCACAGCATTCCAACAACCAATGCATCTCATATTCATTTTCCCAAATAAACATGCCACTGTTTTAAGTTTCCCACACTTGATATACATATCCATGAGAGTCGTTTCAAATACTTCATCAGACAGACCAATTTTTCTCCTTATAGCATAACCATGAACCGAACGTCCCTCTTTCAACATGCCTAACTGTGCTGCCGCCTGAAGTAAGCTCACTAGAGTAACTCTATTAGGATCAAGCTGTTCTTTCTGCATATCGCTTGCAATATCAAAAGCATCATAAACACGATCATCACCACATTGTGCAAACCCAGTAATCATCGATGTATAAACAACAACATCCTTTTCAGTTATTTCATCAAACACTTTACTCGCATCCCCTAAATCACCATACTTTGAGTACAAACCAATAAGAGAAGAACCCACAAAACGATCCATACTTAACCCAAACTTGACACTGTCCCCATGAACTACTCTTCCAAATCTTAAACAACCCAATTCAACACAACTCTTTAAACTAAAAGTAACAGAAAAACCATCCAAACCAATTTTAGATTCCCTCCAATTTTTGTACCTCCCAAGAACTTCATTGAAATAACCAGTTCTAAAGTAGCCAACAAGAACTGAATTCCAAAAACTGAGATTAGTATTAACAATTCTATCAAACACCCATCTCGATTCATTTAAAAACCCAAAATGGGCATAACTAATTACAAGCTGAGAACCCAAAAAAGTGTTCCTTCTGAGACCCCAAGTGAAAACACAAGCATGGAGCTTTTTCAGGGAAAGAGTATCCTTACAATTTTCAAAGCAAGAAGAGATTTTATCTATTAAAAATGCACTAGAATTATTATTTCCACTCAGATTAGAAAAAAAATTAACAAAAGGATTGGTTGGAATTTGGTTATGTTCATGGGCTGGCATTCGAAATCTTAATGAGAAAAGATTCATTTTTTATATGAAATCAGTTGAAATGTGACTGTCTTTCTTGTTTTTAAACAAATCCCAGATGGAAAATCATGCATTTTGCAGTTGAAATGAATTGACACTTGAAGGTTAAGTCTGCAACTATCTGTCTAATTGTTTGTGTATGACTATGTATGTTTGCTTTTGAATTTACAGCCAAGTTTTCTAACTGTATTTCAGCGTGTTTCGGGAATATGTTTTGGGTTTTATTTTCGTCTAGTGGGATTTAAAGAGTCAATGAAATGGCAAATATCAAATTTGTTTTTCTTTTTTTTTTTAATTTAAAAAAAAATATTTAGACCAAAGTTCAATGCTTTTTTTTTTTTTTTTGTTTTTTTAATCAAAGGATCAATCTTTGAATCATAATATAAGGCCTTTATTCATAACCAACCCTTAATCATATGATCTAAGGATTATCAATCTTGATATCTTACACAGTCGACTTTATTGATTAGATTGTTTGAGTTGGTAGCTCGAATCTTTGTGTTCATAAATTCAATTATCATGGAGAAAAATGCAGGGATAGAAGGTTGTTAAGATGGCCAAGTAAACAAACTAACAAAGCATATTAATGAGAAAAATATAGGCAACTCCAGAATCTAAAACTTGCTATATGCCAAACTTTCAGGAGCACTCCTGCAATTATATTACATTAAGCCGAGATGTTTCAGTTTAAGCTCAGAGAAGAACAATGAAACTTATTTATGATGAAACACACAACTCACTCAAGGTACTGAGAAACCAAATTAAGGTTAAGAAATGAAAGCATGTACAAAGTGAATCTCCCTGGAAAGGAAAACCCAGCACCATAGCCAAGAGAACTCCAATTCTCTGAAATCAGACATTTCTTTCTCTTTCTAGTTATTTTATAGAGAGAGGGGGACTACCAATCGGGTATCTTTGTCTCGGTGGACGTCTTGTCCTCTTCCCCCATCCTAATAGGCTTGCCTCCTCAAATGCCACTTCTCTACATTTAGGTGGCTCAGTCTGAGGTGGGCAACTGGTAGGTACATTTGGAGGAGAATCAGAACCCCCTGAACGCCGCCTTCTCTTTCCCCCACCATTCCTAGCAGCATTTTTCAGTGCCAAACTTGACTGCCAGGTGCCACCAGTGGCTTTTATCAGCCCTTCGATTGTCTGAAGATCCTCAGTCACCTCATTCTTTAACAGTGAAGCAAGAGTGGGTAGTACATCCCTTTGAAAGTCCTTCCTTTGCCTTCCTCTCCTTGCCTGACCTCTTCGTGGTCGTTTAAGCATTATGTTTTCAGTTTTTGAGTTTTCAAAAACCTGAGGCTCATAACAGCATTCTTCTACCTTAGTTTCTGTCAGATTTAATGTCATAAGCTCAAAGTAATCCATCCCATTAGGAAAACTATGTTCAGGATTAACACTTTCCCGATCCATTGAAACTGATCCAACCTCATTCTGAACATCACCCTTGTAACCAGAAGCAATGTCTGCAAACCAATCAAGGGGATCACTGAGAGAATCACCTGAGTCATGAGAATAGCTATCAGCCTGATGAGGCACACAAGATGATGAAATTGCCACTAAAGCCTCAGCTGCAACCTGTTTTAGTCCTTCGTGCAGCTCTTTAGATACAACTTGAAGCAAGTTAACAGGTCCTTTAACTTTGCTGTCAAAATGTTCAAACCCAGGAGGCTTGCCGTCAAGAAGTTCAACCCCAGGAGTTTTGCTGTTAAAATGTTCAAACCCAGGAGGTTTGCTGCTGTTAAAATGTTCAAACCCAGGAGGCTTACTGCTGTCAAAATGTAGTTTGCTGCTTTTAAAATGTTCGAACCCAGGAGGCAAATCCATTTCTGTTTCAACTGCTGGTGCCTCCAAATCTATCTCAAGAGCAATCTTCCGACTGCTTCTTGAGGAAGAGAGGGTTGGTTGAGCCAGTTCTTCAACTTCTTCTTCAACAACACACAAATTCAAATCAATATGATGTCTTGAATCAGCACTGTGATTAACTAAGCCTTTCTCCATCAGACCATCCACTTTATGCTGCTCTCCAAATTCATGTGATGTTGGATCATTGGCCTTGGTACCATCAACAGTTGCAAGATAGCTTGGTTTTGAGGGGCGACTAGGAGTGGCAAGATCCTTAGATTTATAAGGCTTTTCAAAAATGGAGAACCCCAGAATCTTCCTGTTGCTTGAACACTCACCAACTTCAGTTTTCCAGTGCTCAGCATCAAGGGCACATGTAGCCGACAAAGAATCCTGAACAAAGGTTTGTAAGGAGCTCTTTCTCATCATTTCCGTTTTATCGAAAAATTGCTGAGAACAGTTTTGCAATGAATCTCCATTCATCTGAGAAGAGCCTTGCCTTTCTTCAGAAGAGTTTCCATTACATGAAGGAACTGCTTTAAGCCAAGGCAATCCTCCATGAGGGTTCTGCTTCCTTGTCCCATTGATAGAAACAATAGCAGGTTGAGTAATTGTTTCATTCTGATAACTATTTGGAGATACTGCATCGGCTTTCTTCTCTTCTGTAAACTTGGCATCCATAATGGAGCCTAAATCCCTAAAGTTGTTTCTAGGACCACGTTCAGCAAAATGTTCAGAAGCAGAACTACTGTCACTGATGCCATTTGGGTGACCAAATCCATTTGATGAGTGGCAAACCCATGATTCTTTGGATTCCAACTGAGAACCAAAGCACAAATCATTTTGGTACAATGCTTCAGCTCTAGTATTTGGGGCAGATCTAGAACTGCTACTAAGTACCAATTTGTCTCCCACAACATCGGGGCTGTGCATCAATGTCACTGAACTCTTATTTGATTGAGTTAAGGTGCTAACAGAAGGTTGTCCTTGAACCATTATCATATTACGGCTTGAGCCAGGATAAAGTTTCTTCCAGGAAGAAATTGAGGATGACTCAGAATTGGCCGCATTAGATTGAGGAACATGTGGGTGCTGAATAGGAGTTCGGAAGGCCTCAGTGGATGCACCACGGTTGCTTTCACAAATTTCAACACCAAAAAGTTTCTTCTTCTGATGTGATTCCCTGTTCTTTTGCTCAGACAAGATAAATTTTGAAAAGCTGGAGTTCCTAGGTTCAACTTGCTGTGACTTAGAAGTTGCAGGTAAATCTTCATGACAAAAACTTGCATGAAGTGGACCTCCATTACTTCCAGTTTGGCCTGTAGGGAGCCAAATCAAACAATCAGTTTACATTAACCAACTCTTTGATACTACTTATCCTGTCTTTAGTGACAGCTACAGAATAAAACAGGCAAGCAAAATGGCAGCTTTTAACACAAAAAATAAAGCCATATTTGGATTATACTTGCGCACAAAAAACATTTAGTCACCTTTCAGTCAGGTAACAAAAATGCAGAAATGAGAATTTGGTATTTATTTTTCTCCAAAAGATAGAAAATTGAATTTCCTTGAAACAGATAACCTTTGTTCAAGTCTTGGTATGTTTTTCCTTAATTTCTATATGATAACTCTTTATTTGTATGAACATATTCACTTCAGTTTGGGAGTAGATTTCCCTTAAAGGTAAATGCATGTTGTAGAAATGGCATTTGGAAAATCATTCTCCTACTTCATTGGAATATATGTAGACATTTTTTTAGGTTTTAGTTTTGTACACATTATTCTTCACAGTTGCCTTTTCTCTGCACTTCCATTAAAATAAAATTTCTTTTAGACGTATATGGAGATGCAAAACCAATTGGTTCTTTGTCAGCCAATTCATTATTTTAAAAGGTATAGGCACTTGTGATTGAAACTGAAAAAAGAAAAGAAGCACTTTTATTACGAACTCAAGCAAATTTAGAAGGCAATAAATTTAAGCCAACAGTGAATTTAAGGCCTTACCAGCTTCAAGGTTACACCCTGACCACCCATTTTGTTGCCTTTCAGTCTCTACATGCAAATTGCTAAAGCTGATTCCTCTTTCCTTTCCTTTTCGGGGATCTTGAGAAAATTTATTGTCCAAGCAGTGAAAACCGGAATGTGAATATGGAGATGGAAAGTGTCTTTCCAGCTCCTCTTTGGAGCAGATAATATTTCCCAAAACATTGGTGGAAGCTGAGACAGACGCTTCTTTAACTTTGACATGTTCATTTAAATTACTCAGTCCGTGGGGATTCCTCATATATGAACTGGAACTGAACCCATCATTTTTACAGCCAGAGATAACACCAGGGTAAAAAGATGAATTTCCAACTCTCTCACGAGTCATCTCATGGTCCCTGCTAAGAAAATAACTACCCACTGACACTCCAGAAACCCCTTGACCTTCCTTTTCATCATTAACGTATTCTTCAGAAGGAAGTTCAAGATCAATTAACCTTCTTTGCTGCTTCTTGCAGTCGGATTCCGAAGTCTCGTAGTCCTTCAATCTTAATCCAGTTTGGTTAGGACCATAACTGGACTGCATGGCATTCTCTTTCATGGATCCAAACTGACATTGGAAGCTGTCAGCACCAGACATAGACAGTCTACCATGATTTAAATCCACTGTGGACAAACTGGAAATATGCTGCCTCCCCTTGTCATCTGTGAATGAAAATCCAGATGAATAAAGACTAGACTGTGATAGTCTTTCCGGTATCAGATGTTTGTTTAATTCTCTGCTTCTCATTTCATTCATCATGCCCCTCTGTATGTGGTAAATACGATGAAGTTCATGGAGCTGAAAAAAGAACCACACACCAATAAGTTCAGAAGTCAGGCAACTGCAGCGCCTCAAGTAGTAAGCTTTCATGACAAACGAGAGCCTTTAGGGGTTCATTGTTCATATTAAAAATTCGGTCTTAATAAGCATACCTGATGCCTGAACATAGATTCATGCTTCAATATAGTTTGCCGCAAGTGTTGCTTGTCATGTTCCTCATTAACATCTATTGCTTGCCTCGTCAAGAAAAAATCATGGTACTGGCCAAACATATTGCTTTGCTGACATAAAGACCAGCTACCACTGCCAGTATTGTCATTTAGATCTCTCAAGGAATAGTAACCCGGTAGATACATTTTAGACTGTACTTCAGTTCCCATTCCTGCAAAAAACTCAATAGAAGCAGTAAATAAACTTGACGGAGACACATAGTCAATGTCACACCAAGAAAATTAAACAAGCTAATTCTCAGCTTTGTGAACTCGATGCAGCTTCAAATATAGGAAAAGATTATGAAGCTAGAAAAAAACATCAGCTAACCCGTCAAAAACTAGTCCCTAGAATCACTCAGAAGAAATTGCCGCTTCGAAATTAAACTTATTTTTAATGGACTCAGAAATAGAACCAGAGAGAGAGATTTGTTACTCATTTTGATGGAGAGATTCAAGATAACAAAATGCTTAACCAAACATTTGCTTCTGGATGTCAAACAATGAACAGAGAGGGGCAAAACTGAACTTTTACTAATTCCCATGATGATCACCAGATCTTACAGTAGATCTTCCAAAATGGAACATATGATCAGAATGAGAATGAACTCTACATCCCATAAGTATTGAATTCGGAAGTCGTAAGCAATGCAATAAAGTAGAAGATCACAAAGAAAATCTAGCAGTAAATTAGCAATGAGAAACACAATGGGTATCAGTGAAATCGCAATTTAACTCAATTCCCAAACCACATTCAAGATGTTCAGATAAGGAATGAAAAATCTAACTAAAAACTAGCAATAGACGCCAAACACCCAACAAAAGAAACAGTTAAACAAATACCATGAAACCCTTATTAACGACAAAATGCATTACACAAATTACCCAAATCATAATTTAGAGTAACACAACTCACTCAACTATGATCAAACACAAAACATCACAAACGATCAACCCAAAAGAAATAAAATTTCACCTCATAACTATATCCTCCACCACCCCTTTTATCAACAACTCATCATGGTCATCATGAGCCAAAACACCTGAAGAAGCCATAAAATAAGCTTAGATCATCATCACAATCATCATCGTCGTCATCATCATCACCAAACAAAAGAATAAAAGCAAACTAAGATCTTCTGGGCCAGTACCTGATAACAAGATAGAGAGATCCCACATACCCAGATGATAAAAATGAGATCTTCCTTCTCCACAAAAACAGAAAAGCAAAAAAAAAAAAAAAAAAAAAAAAAAAAAAAAAAAAAAAAAAAAAGAACCCCCCTGAACAACAACCAAAAAAATGAGTTGAATGACTTCAATTTTGTCAACTTGTAGTCTCTCTCTATTATTCTATATACTTTGCTTCACCTTTGGCTCAAGTTCAATGATATCTTTAACAAAACAAAATGGATTAAATTAATAAAGGGGGGTGATTGAGGATGTGAAAGATATGGGCAATTTTTTTTTTCACATTTCTAGATTCTCTCTACCTTCCATGCTTTTTGGGTACACATATTTTAAGTACTTAGGAAATATGCAGACGCCTGGCTGTACTCAGACAACAGCCAAACAGTTTCCAAAAGTCGCTGACCCCTCCTCAATGGATCTTACTAGGATTACTTTTCCCACGCGCATCAACAGCGTTTGGATTCTCTCTCTCTCTCTAACATCACAAGTACACTACAACAGAATCTTAAATACTGTTTTCTGTCGTCATTGTTGTTTCTTTCTTGACTTCACTTTACTTCATCAATAATGGTCTGTCAATTATTTCATTTGATTTTATTTACTTTCACCTTAATTTCATTATCAACATGTTAAAAGAAAGACATGTTTTGTAATTACATAATTATTCACAATCTTACGACTCTAATTTAATAGTCAATATAAAAAACAGTGGTACCTTTGTTACTGTATTCTCTTATTAACTATTATATAACGAATCAGTCAACATTAAACAGTAAAAAAATGACTGTTAATAATTATTAATAATCAATAAAATTACTGAATGGATTATAATTTAAAGATTGACTAAGATTCAACCAAGTCGGATAGGACTAACGACATGTTACTCCAACTATAAGTAAATATTAATTTATATAGGATTTGACTATAATTAAACTATAGTAATAGTTTTCGTTGTTCATTCCTATTTAATATTATAAATTCATAGTAAAAAAAAAATTGTCATTAATTTTTTAATGACAAATTTACCCCTATGATCTTATTACATTGAATGATAATCTTAAAAAATGGACACTATGCCCATATTAAAAAAAATGTTATATTGATAATCTTAGTAGACATCAATTGTTGAATGGGATTGGTGGGAATTGTGAAACACAGGCCCAGGGGCGCGTGGGTGATATGAGAAAGGTGTATATTTTACTAAGAAATAAAATAATATAAAAGGTATTATTGTATTATTTATTTATATTTATATATATAAAGGGAATTGAATTGAATAGATAGATGGATTATTGTTTTTGTTTGTTTCTTTATTCTTTAATTCTCCTTATAGCATTCAATTTTTCTTATAATGTGACAATTTTTGGTGGGTAAAGAGCATTACACATGTAATTTTTTTTACATACATTTTATTTTTTAATATTTAATATAATTTAAAAATAATAATTTTAGAAGATGTTAACCAATTACATTTTGTTTTTTTTTTTAAATTGTATTTAAATTCTAAATTAAATGGGCCTACCAAGTACCAACCCACCTTCCTTTGCAAGAATATTTCTTGTTATGCTCAATCATATATCATCATGCTTTATTTATTTTATTGAAAATGCTTGAAATTACAAAATCTTCTTCTAATCCATAATTTAGATCATAATACGATTAGTATTATTTCTTAATCATTGTTGGAGAAAAAAATACAAACGTCTCATTAGAAGTGTCAAAAATTAAGTCAACAAATTTAAGTCATAGGATCACAAAACAATCTTCTATTATCAAAACGTTCGTCATTCTCTTCTGTAGATATCCTAAAATAAGGATAAGACGAACCTAACACTAAGAATAATAAAAGATTTCTTATCATTAAACATTCAGAACGTTCGTCATTCTCTCTTTCAGATATCCGAAGTTTTAAGTTGAAAGCAATCTTAGTTTAGTTTTAAAACTTTGTTTAATCAAATCAAAAATTTGTAAAAGTAGAAAAGCAATTAGCAAGCAAGGTAGCCAAAAGTGAAAAAGGAGCATTGGAATAAAATCCTCCTTTTGTTAAATCTAGTAATTAAGATCTCCTAATTCACTTACTTTTTTTTTGACAAAGGGGGGCAAGGGGGGGCCAATAAACTCTTGTAACTTCAATAGAAATTAGAAAGATTTGAATACAAATAATGTAATGGCAAAAGCTGCTTTTTCAAAAGCCTGTCAATATGAAGAACAATGAATGACACTAAACCCTAAAGCATTACAAAGAACCCATTAAAAGAGGTAGAAAAAGTGTCACCGACACCATTACAATTTACGAAACATTGTATCTCAAGGCATCTTCACTCTCAACGTAATGCTTTAGAGTTAAATCCTAAATCTTAAATCCTAAGATCACATCAGTTAAAATTTAAGAGAGTTTAGATGACGAGAAGTTTGCAATTTGTTAATTTTGGATTAGTTTTATTTCGTAACCTTAATATATCATATTTATCTTACTAAAATATGAAACTATAATAGATAATTATTGGAATTCCAACTAGGCACGCTCAAGCCTATTGGTTTATAAGAGAGGGTAATTCTCTCATTTAACAAGACCTTATTAGGTGAAGAGTCAAACCCACCTCAAATTCTATTATGGTATTAGAGTCAGACCAAATTGAGATGGGTACTTGACCAGCGGGTGAGGAGTTAGAACCAACAACTACATCCAGTAGCGGATCCAGGAATATTTTTTAGGGTGGGCCAAAATAAAAATTTAATATACATTACTATTTTTGTCCATTAATATTTTTGTTAGGGTGGGTCAAAATATATAAATTATACATATTAATATTAAAAAAAAAAATTTGAGGGTGGGCAAAAAGTGGCTGGATCTGCCACTAACTACATCTATCAACAGACATGACCCAACATATAGGCTTGAGCGTGATTCCACACCGATCAGGTATGTTCAAGCCTACTCGTTTCTCAAATTCTATTAGTAATTAATAAAACAAATAAAAACAGCAAGAGTGATCAGATTGGTTATGGTACACTCAAGCCTACTGGTTTATAAGATAGGATAATCCTCTCATTTAATAATACCGTATTGGGTGAAGAGTCAGACCCACCTCAAATTCCATTATGATATCAAAGTCAGACCTAATTGAGCTGAGTACTTAATTAGCGGGTTAGAAGTTAGAACTAGCAACTACATCCATCAACAGACATGACTCAACATATGAGCTTGAGCGTGGTCCTACATTGATTAGACACGCTTTAAGCCTACTGGTTTCTCAAATTCTATTAGTAATTAATAAAACAAATAAAAACAGCACGGAGTGATAAGATTGGTCATGGTATAAAGTCTTTGGTATCAAGTGCTTGTTTCATTAAATTCAATCCTTTTCTCTTGTCAATTTCCTATGAATATTAGCCAAAATATATTTATAATTTAAATAGATAGATGGGGACAGAAATGGATGTTACTCGATTCAAGTTAAGGTTTAGTAAGCCATTGAAGAGTCTCAACTATTTCAATTGTGGTTGTAATAAATTATGTGGGAACTCAATGTCGAAATGCGTGAAGCCCTCGTCTACTTGTGAGGAACACAATTTTTTAAATTGTCTATTTCATGATATAGTGCATTTTTAATTAACCATTATTTAATTTTTTTTTATGACTGAGGTTTCTGAACCCCCACTTTCCTCAAGATCCACTTCAAGTTGAGACACGTCAAACCTGTCTAGTCGTTAAAGTTCATTGAATACTCTACAAACTTAAATAAAACAGAGAAATCACAAATGTGATAAGTGGTCAACTCTTCTGATAAGTTGAACAATACAAATTCTCTAGGTCCATTGACAAACCGAACCTAATGGTCTACCATAAACACAAGGAAGTAGGTTAACCATTATATAATTAATATGCTATTATTTAAAGAATTTAGTATAATTATATATTTTTTTAATAAAAGTTTAGAAATACTCAATCTTCATACCCATTCGTTTAATTATATATATATATATATATATATATATATAAAATCAACTGTGCGTTACACACTCGACCTATAATTGGTTGGTTATATCATACATTTATTGTATTTAAATTAATTTTTGAAACATTAAATATAATTTAAAGAACCTAATAATGAGCAAAAGACTATTTATGGGGCCATTTTTACCCTTTTTTTTTTATCTTGAATTTTGAGATTTTACATAATTAACATGAGTTTGACATTTTTCAAATTTGGAATAGTAACAAGCATGACCCATGTCCCATGTGCCCCAAGAATATAGCACTTTTTTTTTTTTTTTTTTTAAAAACATCATTTGACCAAAATAATTTAATTAATTTACTACTCACATGATCCAAACTCTAGCTATTTCACATGTCTATGAATAAACTAAGCTAGCATAGGATCCCTATAACCAAATGTTGGGGGATTTTGGATAATGTTACATAGTATAAAATAAAAGCAACAGGATTCGTATGATCATTGTTTTAAATATTTAAAACATGATCATGTTTTGGTTCAACCCAACATTTAATGTAATATATATTATATTTTATTATAATAATTGTGTTAGATTTATTCAACATAAACATTTATGAATTTTAAAAACGATAACAAAACATTTCACAAGTTAAACTATTAATTCGACCTGTATATAAAGGTTTATACTGATTGTGATAGTTCGTTATCCGGAAGTGTTTCCTGAAAAATGAGACAAACGTGAGGAAACTACCCGCCTCTATGTGTTGATACTATTATGATAGCATTTTTGAGCGTTATGTCAACGTGCTTATTAGTATGAGGCTTTATGCTACCTTAGAAGGATTAGATTGTACATTCCCCCAAATAGTTTAAGCTTTTAATAGAGTTAATTAGTACCATTTCTTAGAGGTATTTTATGTGCAAAAGTGAGAGATCAAACACTAATCACTTAAACACAAAAAAATAGAAACATTGCAATTATAGATCATAATATACATAACTTTGCATGTGAGGTATAAACTCATTTTACAAACCTCACTATATATATATATATATATATATTTTTTGAAAGCCTCAAGATGTCCCTACATCTAAAGGTATGAGACTAATTCCTGATCGGGGCCTTGGTAAATGCCCTTGGCCGAGCTGCTTCCAATGAAATTCGAACCCTTAACATTGTAGGTAAAATTCGCAATCTCACCGTTTAATTAAGCATCTAAAAAGCTTCACAAAGTTAGACCTCACCAAACTTTTCTTGGGCCCATAAGCCCAAGGATCTCATCCCAAAGCCCAATACTCCCTACACAATCCAGCCCAATAACTCTTGGGCTACAAGCGGCAACGGTCCAATAACCAGCCCGTATTTCCTCGTTCAATTGCTCTTTCTCCCACCCACAACACCCATCAAAAAACCTAAAATCTTCAGGCCCTACTACATTTCTCTTCACCATTTCAGCTGCACATCCCACACTCTCTTTGGTCCCAAAATACAATCCTTTCATTACTTCCTCAAAAACCCCACTCTTCCCCACCCCATCACCCACTTTTGGGCTCACCAAAAACAACCCTTCCTCCAAAGGACCACCAAAGAACAATGGCCTATCCGAGAACGTCCCCGCTACGTCTAGGGTTGTCGATCTCATCTCCTTGATCGACATAAGCGACGGTCGATTGAGTATGATCCCAGACGGGCCTATGGGCTCAGTCGATAAGAGTAGGATCACCGTCCGTTCGAAAATATGGACCCCATCGAGCTTTTCTGTTGCAATAAGCAAACAACCCTTTTCGGGCTCATGAATTTCATGGGCCCATCTGTCTCCGATATTGATTTGCGGTGGTGGAGAATCCACCACCGTATCAAGATCAACAAATGCAGAAGGCTCTTGAGGTTGGATTCTTGACGCTGCTTGTTCTTCAGCTACTAATCTTGCTCTAAACGATCTCCAATCAGCATCAACAAAGCCTTTCTTTTTGTCATCGGACGGTGATGACGACTCCGAGTGGCAACCTGTGATTAACAGCGGTAACTTAACTAAACAACGTGAAATAAATCAAACCCAGATGGAAAAAAAAAAGTACCTACATGAAATAGAAGAAGGGGCAGCAACCCTTTTGAGAACAAACTGATTAGAACATCTCTTGGGGTTGAACAGAGTTCTTGCTTTGATTGATGGACCAAATTCTATGGTTTTTGTAAAAGAATTTGATGTAAGACAGCAAGCTTCCATGCCTAATTGATTCTAAGTTTTGATCTTCTTCTTTCTAGTTGTGTAAATGAAATCTGCAGTGACAGGAGGCTTTTAGTAATAAATACAATACTGAAACTTAGAAGAAAGGTGTGGCTCAATATGCACCGCAAGCGTTAGTTTCAATCCCATCGCATCATCCAAGTTGAGTTTTATTGTTTTTTCCAAGTATGGGCCACTGGATATGAATGACAGGTGGCAGAAGAGTACAAGTATGACTATCTATCTAGAAAAAAGCTGATGTGGGAACCAGATTAACTGAAGCTTTTTTCAACCCTTTTTGGTGATATGGCAGAATTGTGACCAGTTATTGGTTGCTTTTGAGCACTGAAGTTCACTAAATTGTAAAGGAAGTGGGAAGTTGCCTACCCGGCATTCCAGCGATAGCATTCTCTCGTGATGGGATAATCACAACTTAAAAGGTGTTTGTCTGAACTTATAAAAATTAGCTTATAAGTTTATAAGCATTTAAAATTTTAAGCAATTACGTGTTTGGTTAAAATACTTATAAGTGACCAATAAGTAGTTGACGTGTTTGGTAAAATGTGGCTTATAAGTACATTTTATTATAAAATGACTAAAAAAGGTATTACATTAAATAAGGGTGTACTATGAAATTTTAAAATTAAACAAGGATAATGTGATAATATACTTGGTCAAACTAATTTATAAGCAGAGTGTTTATAAGCAAAAAAAAAAAAGTACCTCCCCCCCAACTTATTTTTTTTGGCTTATAAACTCAACTTATAAGCTCAAAAAAATTATAAACAAATAGGTCAGCTTAATTTTAGAGCTTATAAACAAGTTTGACCAACTTATAAGCTTAGACAAATACACACTTAATCTTATAATTTATTTTTTTACAATTTGGATATAATAATTGTAATTGATCCGTTTATAATAGTTTTCGCCTACCCAATAATAGGTTTCATTTGTTCAATTACAAATTGATAAATTACAAGTCACCATATTGAGATTGTGAGAGAAAATTTGTTAGATTCGATTGTGAATCAATCTTAGAAGATGACGACATTTTGCAATTTAGTTATCTAAACACTAAAAAAAAAAAAAAAAAAGGATATGTTTGGTAGGTTGCCATTATTTTTTTATTATTTAGCAAATACCAAATTTACGTGTGAACATATACTAGATAACATAATACGTCCATCTTATTCAAAACTTCTTGCTTGTCTCAATCGTATGCATTTTCTCTCAATTTCAAGATCAAAAGGAATAAGGTCTAAGCTTCTAGTATATGCACGATCGAGGCCCTAAGAACAACAAGAAAACAAGAAAAATCCAGATTTAAATTGAAAATTTAGGAGAAAAACAATAAAAACTTGAATAGCCCAAATTCAGCAAAACTGCACGCGAAAGCAAGAAAAATGTTGAAACCTAAAAATTCTAAAATTAAAAGATAAAATTAAACCAAAAGTTAAAACTAAACCTAAACTAACACAAAGAACAAAGAGAATCAAAAACAAGGAAAAAAAAAATCAAATTAGCAATGAAATAACTCATAGTGATATTGGTAAAAAAAAAAAAAAAAAAAATCCCCTAACAACATCGTTAAAAAGTTGATAAGGATTTTTGTAAATGAACGAATTCGTATTGAGCCCTAGAGAATTATTAATTACCAAAATTAGTTATTCCTACCACTAATTGATTAATTGAAATTTGATTGAATGGGAAAACTAAAAATAACAATTTTTAAACATATTGGAAAAGGAAGCAAGTTGTAAAACAATATGGCAAAGCCTAGAGCATAGACATAGTACCAATGTACTCTTATGTCTTGACGAATCATTGTTAAGCCTTCACTAAAGACCAAATTCTCTTAAATTCTAATATTTTCTCTCGAATAATTATCGGATTAACCCTCAATTACCAATTCAAAATATATCTAAATTGAATTTAGATCTTAAAGGTTTATTAAACCTTTTGAAATTTAATATAAGTCTCACAACTCATGTTTAGTATCTCTACTATTCATCTAACTTAGGGTGTTTATTATTTAGACTAACTAGATTTTATCTCTCGATCTCAACCTAGTTCATTATATCAATCAATTCTCGGCACCAAAAAAATTCAAAGCAATAAAAACAATAACAAAAACCTAGAAAAGAATTGCTTAGCAAAGTTTAACATTAATCCATCAAAATATAATCATAAATTGGGTTACATCTTAGCCCTAGAAAATTAATTTAGTTGATAATTAAATGAAAAGAAATAACAATTGAGAAATTGAAAGACATGACTCATGTGCACATGTGCGAGCTGGCTGGACTTGACTTGGCTCAAATCTGTCCAGATTTTTTAGTCTTCAAAGATATCCAAAATAGATCATGATAAATCCCGAATCTGACAAAGTTGTGAGCTTATGAATTGTAGCCATTCGAGTTAGGTTTCCAATGCTCAAAGAATCGTTCAAATTCGAGATCTACAACTCAAGTTATCATGAAAATACTAAAGCATGTTCTAAAAGTCACGATTTGTACTCAAATCTTCTTGTTTTATTCAAAACCTAATAAAATCACCCAAAAAAAAAAAAAAAAGAAAAGAAAATGACAATAATCCATTGAAATTAATACCTGAGGAGCAAATATATAAGTAATAAGGGCATGACATAAATATACAAATGTAAGCCTATCAAAGGCGGTTTGGTCAAATACTCTTTCAGGCTCTGAAATGCAGCTTCACAATTAACAGTCCACTAATTTTGCTCAAGATTTAACTTTATTTGGTGGGTGTTTAGGATCTCGAATGTTTCTCTAATTTTGCTCTTTATTAAGTGATCGACTGTAATCAAGATCTATATATCATAAGCTAATTAACTTATTATGTTCTCTATTAATAGGCAAGCAAGTTGAAAAAATATTTATTCCGATGAGAAGAATTGGTTATATGTATCATGTACGAAGATGCTATATTGTTTTATGATAATACTGAAACTATAATCTTAAGTTCTCATTTATTAATTATCTATTTTTAAATTAGAGAACTACTTAGAATATTAAAACATGTATATTGTCATTTTTGGATATTATTTGCAAACATTGTCTTAATTCATTCATGTTATTGGATCCAAATGTTATAGATATTTATTATAAGCTACAAAGAAGTAAATTGTTTAAGGAAAGAGATAACAAATTAAGTTAAAACCAAGTAAGAATTTTTGAACTTTGGAAATGATTTAAAGGAAATTAATAGAGGCCAACTAATATATTGTCTTGAGTACGAAAAATCAAAATCCGAATTAAATCCAATGTTTTGTTAATTGAAAGGGAGTAAGTGACTTATTGTTATTTCTAATCTTCTACCATCATTATTGTTTCGCAATCAAAGCTTCATTTTGGTAGGTTTGTTTTTGTAACGTTGTGTGGAATCAGGGCAAAACAGAGGGTGTGTATTTGACAAGAAATTCCATGGTCTTTCTCCAACACGGGAACGAAATTAGCATGAAATTTTAAAGTTAATTCTTGGAAAAACAATGCACAAAGAGTCATCGTTAGAGAAATTAATTATCGTATTCATTGCAAGACTAAAATCAAAAATAAAATTTTATATTCGAAAGACTATGATCATAAATATTAAAAAAGGGTATTGAAAATTTGCCCTTTTTAGTCAGCAAAAATATACTATCATGAGTTATAAATAGGGGTGTTCAAAAGTGGTTAACCGAACCAGTTAACCGCTTTTTTAAACCGAACTGGTTTTAAGAAAACCAATTTAAAAAAAGCAGTTAACCGGTTTTGAACCGGTTTTTCCTTTTTTTTTTTTATAAAACTTTTTTTTTTTTAATTTTGTCATAAATTAAATTGTAAATATAGACAATACATTGGAAACTAAGAAAAAAAATTTGGGTTGGGATTTTAGATTGAGTGAATTAGGGATTTATTTTATTTTAGGTTATTATTTATTTATATATATATATTTGAAAAACCGGTTTAGAAAACCGGTTTTCGGTTAACCGTTTCTAATTTCTCCCAAACCGGTAACCGAACCGAAAATTCGGTTTTTTGAATTTTTTGAATCGTAACCAAACCGTTTTTTCGGTTCGGTTTTTGCATTTTTTTGAACACCCCTAGTTATAAAGGTAGCATTTACATAATTTTCAGAATATCCAGAGTGATATTAGTATAAAAAGAAATTCATAATTTTGTAGATATTTTATTTCCAAAGTGAGTCCTCTTTAATATAAAAATTCCCTAAAAAATGGATGTCACATGTCTACTATTTCTTTAATATGTATGTTGTACATTTTCATAAAAATTAAGCAAAATTACAATGTTACAATGTTAACAATCATTCTTCATATTATATTGTTTTTATTAATGAATATTAAGGTTCTACACTTGTACTTTATTAATAATTATAATTGTTTAATTATGTGCATTATTATTATGGCAACTAATCTGATATCTTTCTAAGAAATTCCCTTATTTTTTATCAATAATTTAGACAATATTTGTTTATTTTCTCTGCTAATTAATGAGTCGAATTTAGTCATTTATACGGTGGTATGATATTTCTGTGAAATTTCTCTACCATTCCTCATTCATGAATCATATATGTTTCCACAAATCTTTTAATTTCTAATTTTATTTTGTTCTAACTCTTCGTATTTCTTTATAAGTGAAGAGGACTCTTGGTAGTATTATTATCTTCGTTTACAATCATACAATTTATTATGAATTAGCTCATAACATGTAGGAGTAGATGACTTTTTATTTAATTTTTAAATTTGCATTTTATTTAAATCCAATGGTGTATTTTTTTAATTGAAAAATAAGGATTTATTGTTATTTCATAAAGTAATTTTGAATTCTAGCTTATGCCTCTTAATTATTTCTAATCTTCTACAATTATTATTGTTTCGCAATCAAAGCTTCTTTTTGGTAGGCCTGTTTTTGTAATATTGCGTGGAATTAGGGAAAAACAGGGGCATGAAACTCGGTTTTAATGGGTAGTTTTCTTTGACCAGTATGTGAAGAAGAGAAAAAGAAAAACATCCAAGAAATTATTTCTAACTGGAAAATTTATCTGATTTACAATTACTTTTCTTATTTTAATGGGTATG